TTTATTTTTCTTTATATGTAAAATTGGTTTGATTTTGGTGTTTAGATTGAAGGTTTAATCTATTTAACAAATGCGAATTGAAATAAATCGCCCAATTTAAATGTATTACTTTTGAACAGGCTATTTAACAGTTGTTTAATATACCAGTGTGTTTACATTTTATTTGGCAAATAAATGAGGACCTTGTATAATTTGTTTATTTCTTTTAACTGCGGCCGGGGGAGGGGGGATTACTAAGAAGACATAAAAAATCAAGCAAAAATATAATTATTTATTACGAACGGTTTACGGATCAGGGGACTGTTTTACAAAAGAACTTACGACTAAGACCAAAAAATTAATTCTGCTAATAACTATTTAATTTACATTAAATAGAAAACGGTGTTAATATCTTTAAAAGATGTGTAGAAAGATACTTTTACGCTAGCAATTTTAAACAGAATAATTAATTTTTCAAAATTTTTACAATCAACTGAAGTTTTTGATCTTAGTCGTAAGTTCTTTTGTAAAACGGGCCCCAGTTTAATAAGTGAACTTACTTTAAGATCTAGTGTTTGAATTGTCTGATTTATATATACCTAAGTTTAGGAGGAAAATATTTTTTTTTTCATAAAGATATCTTTCTTGGACTATTCCAAGAACAACGCATATTAGTTATGAAACAAGAAATTTAAAATGACTCATGAAATATTCATAGTTTTCATTACTTTATGTAAGAGAGAGGAAATAAAAAACACACCGTTTCAAAACCAAGATCAAGTATTTTGAAGCTTGCACACTTTAACTCTTTGTCACCCAACTTTAAACATCCTTTTGATGTGAGCAAATTTAATGTCTGTTTTTATTTTTAAGACTGACATTAAATGCACTTATGAGAAATGTCCTTTCTTGAAATAACCACTGGTATTTGTAATTAACATTTTAGTACAAGGCCTTTAATTTATAAGAATTATATTTTGAAGGTAACACTGCAGTTGAAAATTTTGTATTTTCTTCTACCCAGTAAATTCAAAGTTTAGATCATGACGCATGAACAAATTTTAAATCTCAAAATCATTTCGTAGGAATTTTTCTTTGAATACTGCTTTATTTTCAGAAAAAATTCCACTAATAGCATATTTTTCCCTTTAAAGAAAAAATCCTCAGAGAAAAAATATGCAAATTTCTTGACAGTATTAAAAAAATGGAAATTCCTAAAGTGAATTTTTAAGTCATTTTTACTTAATTTTATGAAGACTGTCCTATAATTAAAGATGTAACCTCAACAGAATATTATGTTAGAATTCACCAATGAAATAGAAATTAAACTTAAACGCAAAATGAAATTTGAAATTCAAATATTAACTACTAGTTCTAGAGGACAGCGATGTAGCGTGATTAACGCTGTCGCTAATTAAGAGGAATATACCTGTTTGACAAGGGGACTAATCGCTATATGTTTTACACACAGATCTGTCGGGGTGAGCATAAGTATGGTGATTCTGGTCTCTTCTCTAAGTGCATATTTACTTCAATGTATTCACGTAATCTTGTTTTAATGGAGGAAAAAAAAACACCCTGTCAAACTGCTTGATTGAAACCACTATTAGGTTTCTTAAAATAAAAAGAAATTCGAGTGTCATAATTAGTTGGTGTTCCATAAAGATTTAAACTGGCCGTAAAAGTGCTTCACACCCCCTATCCCCCCCCCCCCCGCCCCCAGTAACCCGATAATGCATGAAAAGGAACACTTATAGAAAGTAAATCACAGGGAACTACGGAACAATTTGTGGATTCTGGAGAAAAAAAACTTTTTAATTTCATATTTTGTATTGATGTCCACAGTGTTTAATATGTGAAAATTTAAGTGACGTAGATGTAAACAACCAACAAAGATAGAACATTTTTTAGAAGAACATTTATTTAATAAAATGGATGTTTTCTCAAATGCTGACTAAAGGTCGGCAAAAACAATGAAAAAAAGACAATCAAGGCAAATCATTGGGAAAACTTGTAGACAACTTTACGTTAAAGATTAAAAGTTTATGAGGTAATTTCAAAAAATTAACAGAAAAAAATTGTATTGACCCACAGAACTATTAGAATGTTTTATGTTTTTGTCATATTTCTAGAAATTTTATTTACAATATACTTTGCGCTAAATTTCTGGGAGGGGGGAGGTGCTGTCTTTATAGAGTCTGTGTAAGAAAAAAGATATACAAAAAGTAAGGCAGTCAAAGAGTTTTCGCTTTAATAATTTTGTTTTGTTTGTTTTGTTTTTGTAGCTCACCTGAGCCGAAGGCTCAAGTGAGCTTTTCTGATCACATTTTGTCCGTCGTCCGTCTGTCCGTCTGTAAACTTTTCACATTTTCGACTTCTTCTCAAGAACCACTGGGCCAAATTCAACCAAACTTGCCACAAAGTATCCTTGGGTGAAGGGGATTCAAGTTTGTTCAAATGAAGGGCCACGCCCTCTTTCAAGGGGAGATAATTAGGAATTAAAGAAAAAATAATGGCATCATTTAAAAATCTTCTCAAGAACCACTGGGCCAGAAAAGATGAAACTTATGTGGAAAGATCCTCAGGTAGTGTAGATTCAAGTTTGTTCAAATCATGACCCCCAGGGGTAGAGTGGGGCCACAATGGGGGATCAAAGTTTTATATGGAAATATATAGGAAAATGTCTTTAAACATTTTCTTCTTAAGAACAGCAAAGCCATGATTGGTCATATTTATATGACCCCTGGGGATAGGGTGGGGCCACAATGGGGGATCAAAGTTTTACATAGAAATATATAGGAAAATATCTTTAAAAATCTTCTTCTTAAGCACAGCAAATCAATGATTGGTCATATTTATACGAAAGCATCCTCAGGTAGTGTTGATTCAAATTTATTCAAATCATGACCCCGGGGGTAGGGTGGGGCCACAATGGGGGATCAGAGTTTTACAATGAAATATATACGAAAATATCTTTAAAGATCTTCTTCTTAAGCACAGCAAAGCCATGATTGGTCATATTTATATGGAAGCATCCTCAGGTAGTGTAGATTCAAGTTTGTTCAAATCATGACCCCTGGGGGTAGGATGGGGCCACAATGGGGGATCAAAGTTTTACATAGAAATGTCTATAGGAAAATATCTTTAAAAATCTTCTTCTCAAGATCAGCAAAGCCATGATAGGTCATATTTATATGGAAGTATCTTCAGGTAGTGTAGATTCAAGTTTGTTCAAATCATGACCCCCGGGGGTAGGTTGGGGCCACAATGGGTGATCAAAGTTGACAGAGGGATATATAGGAAAAAATCTTTTTCTCAAGAACAGAAAAGCCATGATTAGTAAAATTTATATGGAGGCAACCTTGGGTAGTGTAGAATGAAATTTGTTCAAATGAAGGACCCCGGGGGTAGGGTGGGGCCACAATGGGGGATCAAATTTTTACAAATGAATATATGGGAAAAATCTTCTGCTCAAGAACAGCAGTGCCATTTGTTATATTTTTATGAAAGCATCATCAGGTAGTTTAAAATTCACCCCCCCTCCCCCCGTTAACTTTTCAAACACTAAACTGATTTTTGCTTTTTTTTCCCTAGCCAATGTGCTCAGGTGAGCGATGTGGCCCATGAGCCTCTTTTTTTTTTTTTCTTTTTTGGTTAATTTGCTTTATTATTTTTTCTGAGTGGTGGGGATGCTGGTTGGTGTGTGAGGGTGTCGCTGATTTGGGGGGGGGGGGGGGTCCTATTCACAGGTATGCTATAAATGTATGTTACAGGTGTAAAGTTGGTTGCAGTTAGAAATTCGAGACGGCGCACAGAAAAACGAATTTCTAATCAGTCACTGTCTTATTAAAACTCTCGTTAATTGTGAAGACCAGATTCCCTGCTTGTTTGGTTTACGTTAATTAGTGTACTGCAGAAATCTGTCAAAGACAAGGGGAAGAAACATGGCATTTACACGTGTTTATATAAAAATAATGTAAAATGCATTATACATGAGATAATTTTAGTAACAATTGGACAGCTGTGAATACATTGTATATAGAAGCTTAACAACGCCCTGAGTTACTGTGATCTATGTCCATCAGTACAGGCACTCCCTATATACATAGCATTATTTCAGACACTTCTATTGTTTTAAGGAAATAATATGCGCTTTCGTTTCATGCCCTGGATTTATGACAAATATGCATTACAGGGGCGGATCTTGAACTTTAGGACAGATTTTGATAGTGGTTCCATATTGTAATTTTATTAAAATGATTTAAAATGCAGCGTTTTCAAAAAAACGTTTAAGGTGCAAAATGGCCGACTTCTTATATGTTATCTGTCATATGAATTTGGTTCATTTAACTTCCATCGTTATATAGCAATACATATTTAACTTGTTTAAAATGATTCAAATTGCTTAATATCCGTTCATTATACATTGAATACCTTAAAGCCCTTCACCGGTATATGGTGACGTCTCTATATGAGTGAAAATTTCTCGAATGGGACGTAAAACAACATACAATCAATCAGTCGATTTTGTACCTTATTTATAACATCAGCTTATGTTTACAAAATAGATAAAGAAAAAAAATCCCAATAAGATTTTCAAAGATTGAGGCACGCATGCTCTGAAGTATCATGATTTCAAAACTACGCTCGCTCCGACGGTCACACCGTCAGAGTATATGACTTGTATTATGACAAATCCTCTCCTACTTACGCGGGGATCAATAGATTTTGTAGAATTGTTTTATTAGCCACCGCACAGGTGGAAGAAAAGAAACCCAAAACCAAAAAATTCACAATAAAACAGACTGACTCGTGAGTTTAATTTGTTTCTTGTGAAATAAAAACGAAAAAAGAAGCTTCCAATCCACCCTGAATAGTAAGAGTCTTAGGAATGTTTTATGCAAACAGAACAACACAATTTATGAGGTGGGTGGATATAATTGAACAAAATATCACAGAGGTAGATATTGCACTGTTCCCATAGCAACAAAAACAACAAATTTCTTGAGCCAATCAAAAGATTATGATTTACATTATTTAATTTTCTAGCTACATGGTTCCTCGTAAAGACGTACAGAGACAGAGAGAAAACCCTCACTTCTGGAGGTTCTAATGACAGCAGTAAATAACTACTTCCTGTCATTTCTTTGTACAACCTCTATAACTCTATAACTAATGATTGCAATATAAAGTATAAAACATACAATTCTGAAAATAAAAAAAAAGTATTGCTTTCAAAATAAGTGCATGGTAGCTTAATTTATATCTTTAGGTGCCATTTTCGATAAAAATATTAATCTTTAAAATTGGAATACGGCAACAGAGTTTTGGAAAAAAAACCCACATGCATCGGGTTTTTTTTTTTTTTTTTTTTTTTAAATCCTAATACATAAAGATGTAGTAGAATTATGACTCAGCATTAAACTCATAATTAGAAAATTCTAAATCAAAACATTCCTTATTGTTCCAGCATAAAACAATTCCACACGGCATCTTGTACTTAAACGTTTATGACGTTATCAGGTAGCCTTTGTTTTTCTGGATCTTGCGCTGAATACTGGTGTTCCTTTAAATGAGGGGTTCCGAATTTCCTTCACCGGAACCATGTACTGAGGCTTATATCCGGTGAACAAATTAAATCCCTCACGATTATAAACCTTGCTCTCCACGTTCGAAGATGGCGCTACAGGTGCTGATCCTATTAATGTTGAGCTGATGCCAAGTCGTGGGGCGGATGGAGACGGTTTTGGCTCGGAAACAGAAATAGATTCATTTGTACCTCTGGCAAGAACCATTCCGGCTGGAATGTATTTTTCCGGATTTATCGGGTTTTCTTTCTTTTCTGGTTTTGGGTTTTTCAACAGTGAATTTGAAATGACTTTATCGGTCGTGTTTCTTTCAATGTAAGAGATGGGCGTTTCCTTTAAGGTGCTCTGTACAATAGGTGGCGTTGTTGATTTTATTTCCGGTATATGTCCTGGTACTCCAGAACTGAGTTTCATCGGATGTGGAGGAGCCTTTAATGAATTGTCCGAGAACCCAGCAATGTCGATGTACACTTGACCTAGCGAGTTTACAGGTGGACGATAAGTTGGGATCGGTCGCTCAGTTGCTCTCAGTCTGAACTCCGAGCTGAATTCATATGGCTTAGGCGGTTCCATTATGGCTCGGCTGTGTCCTATATCATGATAGATCTTACTGATGCTCAACATTGATTTGCTTGAACTTTGACCTAACGAACTTTGTCCTAACCACTCACGTCTAACTGGCTGAGACTCAAAGGCGCTTGCTTTAGGGTGGCCGTAATCGATTATACCGAGGTTCGCCGCGTTGTATTGAAGTGGTGCAGTTCCGCTGTACATGTTACTTCCGGGGTCTTTTCCACCTCCTGTGAGACTGAAGGAACTTCCTGATTTTGGCATAGGGCGAATCATTCCGGTCTCAAACTGATTTGAGGGGTTTAATTCCTGAGGAGCCGATCGACCAGCCATTGGATCATAAATATTCTTCCCATACCCGTTGTGTTTGTAATCGATTGCATTCACGGGATTCACGTTCCTGCTTGGTCCTTGTTGCTCGCTTTTCTTGACAGGATCTGTCTGACTTGCCGTTTTCTTGTTGGGACTAGGTGGATTTATCTCCCCTTTCTGGTTAATATCCGGGTCCCTGACTGGTGCGGAGGTTACTGTCAGTCGTAGATTACTATTCCTATTTACAGCTGGTGTTAGTCTAGGACTTTGTTGTTGTGGACCTGCAAAGGTAGATTCCGGAAGTCCAGTGCTCATTGTTTCCTTTGTCGTGGTATATTTGACTTTTGGTCCCTCTCTCCCCACCTCTACTGGCGGACTACGTTGAAAATTTTGCATTTTAGGTTTTTGTACTGTCCTGACTTTTGACGTCTGTAGACTTTGAGATGCAAAGCCTTCTGTTTCCAATGGTGTTATCTTCAGAGCCCCGTTGTGATTCTGACTTTTTCCGATTTTAAACGTGTTTAAATTTGCTTTTCTTACAACATTTGAACCATCCACAGAAGGCCTAATTTGCTTAACCCTTTGTATCACGCCTGCTGTGGTTTTTTGTTGTTCATTGATCACTTCCGGTACACGACGATTTGGAAGATCATGAAGTGTTCTCTGCGGGAGTTTAACTTCAGGATATTGTTTACCTTTTTCCTGTGGTCTGGTTTGCTTTCCTGGATTTTTTGGTTTAAGATTGTACTTTCTGGGTCTTTCAATTCTGACTTCCGGTGATTGCACATTTGGTCTAGTTTGTTTAAATGTTCCTTGACCGCCTTGAACTTTTGAAACCATGTTCCAAGGTTCAGAACCGGTGCCACCAAGTCCTTGTTCTGCTGGTTTTACTTGAGAGGTTCTCGGTTGAGTTTCTGGCTTCCGAACATCAAACGGCCGAGAGTTTTGAACTTCCGGACCACTGCTTTGAACTCGACGAGGTATAGCCCCTGACTGATTATCTATTACACTATTTCTCTTTCTAATTTTCTCCATGTTAAAAGGAAGAATTTTATAGCTACCAAAGACGCTTGGCTTGAACTTGACGGCGCTTCCTGGAAGCAAGTTAGCTTTATCTGAAGGAATTCCGTTCATTATATTCTCTACTCCCGAACTCTTAGTTTCAGATTTTACGTAAGGGGGCTCAGTTGTGTAACTGTAAGCATCACTATTTTGAGATGGTTCATGTACCAGTTCATTATAAATAGTATTCTCATGACCCACATCATAATGGCCGCCACTGTGATCGTACGGGAGAATTTGTACGGCGCTGTGTGACTGTCCGACACTATAGGGGCGGATCTCAATAAGATTCAAGGAGTGGGGGTCAATGTGGCTTATTGGATCTCCGCGTACTTGGTGTTCTTTTTTTAATGGTGTTTGGATCGCTTCAGGAACTGTATGAATGGACTGCGATCCCTCGAACACAGGTATCATACAAACTCTTCCACATCCGTTAGAACAGCACTTCCTTCCTGCCGGGCACACACTGTCTGTATAACATTCGTCTTGACAGACTCCTCGGCTCCGGAGCTGTGGACAAAGACCATTGCGAACGTCATATAATGGAGTTGTCTGATATAGAGGAACGTTATATAAATTGTTAGATCCCCCAACATTAGTATTAGATCCGCCATCTGGGTTGTTTTGACGGTATTGTCTACCGAGAGTGTTATCATATCGGATGTTAGATCCCCCACTTGGCTGTTGCTGATGTGGACTTTGAACTTCGTATGTACTTTGTGACGGGCTATTATATGGAATGTTTGGTTGAATTTCCGGGTTGTTTAACTGATGGTTAATTCCGCCTGTCTCAGGAGTGTACTGATTGTTATATTCAACACGTGGAGGTCCTTGTTGTGAATTAGATCTTCCGTTTTGTTGGTTGTACTGGTTAGATCCACTTACTGGTTGATAGTTAGATCCATCATTCTGTTGACTATTTTGAATAAGTTCTGAAGCCTGTTGGGGCGGCTGATGATATGTTGCACCATTAGATCCGCTCCTTGGGTCACTTGGTTGATTATTAAATCCTACAACAGATGCATCATGGCCGGTGTAACCGCCAGGGGAATTATGAGGCGCTTTGCCCATAGGAAAAGAGTGCTGGTTGTTTGAAGGATTTAATGCGCCTACAGGACTAGAATGCTGGTTATAATGAGGATCTGGTTGAGTATTTGATCCCCCTACAGGTCTTGAATGTTGGTTATATTGAGGACCCGGCTGAATATTTGATCCCCCTACAGGACTTGAATGCTGGTTATATTGAGGACCGGGTTGAATATTTGATCCACCTATAGGATCAGAATACTGGTTATTTGGAGGACCTGGCTGAATATTTGATCCGCCTACAGGTTGAGAATATTGGTTATTCGGGGGATTCGGCTGAACATTTGATCCCCCCAATGGGTTAACATGCTGGTTATTTTGAGGACCCGATTGAATATTTGATCCGCCTACAGGATTAGAGAACTCATTATTTGGTGGACCTGACTGAACATTAGATCCGCCCAATGGATCCGTGTACTGGTTACTAGGAGGACCTGATTGAACATAAGATCCGCCGACAGGATTAGAATACTGATTAGATCTTCCATACAAGGGCTGCCCTTGTGATGGATTATCATAAGAGTCATATTGAGGAATCGGTGAGTAGCTTTGTTGATTGTTGTTTACGTTTGCAGGATTATATCCGCCCATCGGAATATTTGATCCGCCCGGGGAAGAATTACCGTGATATCCTTGTTGAACACGTGGATCTCCGATTGGATTGTTATTTTGAGGTTGTCCAGAAGGCATGTTCGTATTATGATTTTGGCCTCCCATAACTCTAGGTGATATGGTGCTCGATCCACCCGCTGGAATATTATGCTGAAATCCTTGTTGGTTGTGAAATCCGCCATTGGTATTGCTATCATATGGCTGTCCATTAGAACCGGGTGAATAATTGTTAAAATGTCTTGAGGGATTCGCAAATTCCGGAGGTGGCTGATTTCTAGGTCCACCTCTGAAATTCCTTTGTAGAATTTCCCTGTTAACGGGGTTGGAAGGTGGATTATTTGTACCACCCATAGAGTAATAATTCTGATTTGGTGCACTGTTAGATCCACCTCTCGGACTGTTTTGATTAGATCCGCTCGTTGATCCTCGGAGAAAGCTAAAAGGAATGGGTCTATTGTTTAAGTCTGCTCTGCTCATATTGCGACTGTTAAAACTGGGTCCCCCAACTGGATTAATATTCTCGTTAGGTGGTTGATTCTGTTGGTTATGGAGTCCACCGCTAGGTGGCGCTTCAGTGCTCTGTGAATTGTTAATGTTAGCATGAGATCCGTTTATTTGAGAAGAAAGGGCTTCTGGAACCATTTCTGGTTTATTTGTGATCTGTTCAGTCGGTGCTGAACTCACAAGATTGATCGCCGGGATTTCCGGCGCAGTGCATTTTTTACCGCAGCCATTAAGGCAACATTTCTTCATTCCTGCACAGTCATTATCATCACCACAAGCATCCGGGCATTTCTTTGACGTCATCAAAACAACAGATGGACAAAGCCCCGGTTTTGCAGCATTTCTTTTTGCCGAGTACTTTACACTGTTTTGTGCCGGAAGTGCTGAATTCTGAATGATTTGCCCGGAAGGAGCGGAAGGATTTCTGGCGCCATATCTTGATGGTGATACGTACATGTTTGAAGGAGTCCCTGCTCCATGAAAACCCTGGCCGTAAACCGGAAGTACAAACCAAGAAATCACTAAAAAAGGAGAGAAAGTTTGTTAAGAAGGCTTTTGTATCTTTTTGAATTATTTGTATTAATCTAAGAAGGAAAACACATGAAGTTATGTGATGAGGCCCTAGTAGCATAAATCATAATACTCTGATATTCCTAGCTAAAATCCAGACAGAATACTAGGGAAATATTTTGTTATATACATTTAGTATAAATGTAAACGCAAAAGTTTTGTCGATATAGACATAAAACTTGTTTAATTTTTTTTTTTGTTTTGTTTTGTTTTGTTTTTTTGTTTTTTGTTTCTAGGGAGGGGGGTCTGTTTTTAAGTAGCGTTTACCTCAGGAGAAAAGGAATATTAAATAATTCTATCCTTAAAAATAAACCTGTATATATATATATTTCAGCATGAGATATAAATTTTATATAAAGCGATGTTTTAATTATGTAAATGAGGAGCTAAATGATGGCACTGTCACAGATTTTCCCTTAGCTGAATTAACGTACAGCCATTAGGGAGAGGGTGACGCTATACCGTTATAATTGACATTGCGGATTCTAATTCACTGGTTTGCTTCTCCATAGTTCCCTGTTACATATTTTATATTACTAAATACGATATAAATTCCCATTGTTAACAAACTCCAGACTTATCTTAGTGTTTTGATTTATATTTTGTTTTTTTAATTTTTTTTTCTTTCCTAACGTTTTGGTAAAATATCTTGATATTCATTTAGAAATTGGGGAAAAAACAATCCTTCGTATATATATATATATATATATATATATATATATATATATATATATATATATATATATATATATATATATATATATATATATATATATATATATATATATAGCCCGTACTGAATTTCATAAATTGGACAAGCCCTTATTATTTTAGCCTATACTCAAAAACTGATGCCGGCATGTGAATGCTAACGTTTAAATTAAAAAAAAATACAGCAATTAAGATGTGAACTCTTTTTTTTAAAATGAATTATTTATGATTATATTTCCTTTATTTCACACATAAAGCCATAAAATGCTGATTAAAACAAATTAAAATGCATTGTTCATAAAGCACATTTTTGATTTAAGATAAAATTTATCAATGTAAAGGGTCGAGCACATAGAAATAGATATAACCAAATAGTGAATAATTCTTTGATCATGGTTTAAACTTCATATTTATTTCTTTATCTTGTGTGAATTGTTTTCTCTTGAATTTCTTCTATTCTGTAAATTACTGCCAGATCAGGACAAGTCTCTGTATTCCATCACTATTTAGACCAAGCCACATTTTGTAACATCTGTCACCTTAAGATGGATTTCCGAGTTCTAATTGCTTAACAACTTGTAGTAACGTGCTCTTACTAATTAGATTTTAATTTTTAAAAGTGAAAAGTTAAGGTTACGTCTGATGTTTTGACATAACACGACCAGCGTTACTATTAATATTCGCTATGTACGTGAGGCTTTCTTATCTAATGAAAACAATTTAGTTTACAAAATAATTTATCAAAAATTCAAAAGACGCTTTAATTCAATATTATTGTGAAAACATTGCTTTTTCTCTCCACATCTGTCATAAAGATTTATTTTTCTGAAATTAAGAAAAGATTGAAATCATAATGCTTGGTTTTAATTTTCTCCGGTAGATATGCTACTTCAAGACTTTGTTAGCTTTTCGAGGACAGTCAACTAACTTCGAGTTAATGATATTTTTATTACTTATGGCATTCGTTTTTATATAATATGCGCAGTATTTTTTTCATTGTTACATCATTTTCCGTTAAAATTAGAAAATTTTTATTGCTGCAAAACATGAATTAAAAATATCAGATTAAAAACAGTCCACTGTTGACCTTGTAGAAACATGGCCTTGAGAATTAATTCATTAATTCTAACTAAGTAATCACTGATTGTCAATTAATGGAGAATAAAAGTTTATTTTTAAAAAATTGTAAGCGATTAAAAATGATTAAAAATAAAAGGCATCGCATGACCAAGTCTTATTGATAGTTTTTTTATAACTTGACTTAGTAAAATGAATATAATACAAAACAGAGTTTTATAGATTAAAAAAACCCTAAATTTTATGAATGCTTTATGACTGTGAACAATTCTTAGAGTCAATTTATATTATAGAAAGCTAACTAGCTTTTACACACACACACACACACACACACAGAAAGAGAGAGAGAGAGAGATTACTTACCAGTTAAAACAAAGAATCTCCAATAAATAAGATGATTGTTTGATACATCCATTTTTCTATGGAGGTAAAAAATAAAATAAAGTATGCATTAATATTTACCATTGCATCCAGGAAAATCTTTTAAGGAATTTGTATCATCTTTATAAAATTGAAATCATGCATTGAAAATAAAACAAGTAATATTTTAGGGCAAAGATCAAGTGAGCATAGTTCTAAATATAGACAAGATTAATAATGAGATAGATAAATATATATTTAAATATACCTTCACTCCGGTCCGGTGAGAGGTGAATGCATATTCCGCACTGACACGGGTTTTCTATTTATATATTCTTCACGCTTCGTTGCCTTTTAATATTTTTTAATAATATGCTACATAGCTCAGGTGAAATTAAAGTCAGGAGCAAAATAAACCGCACTATGTACATGTATTACAATTTTTTTTCTTTTAATTTGATTTATTCGATGTTAATTTAAACAGTAAACTGATTTCTTTAGAGTGGGAGTGTTTTGCTAAACTTAATCAAACGCTCAAGTGAGTTTTTCTGATCACAACTTGTCCAATGTCTATTGTTGTAAATGTAAGCTTCATTTTATAGTGTTGATATAAGTTTGTTCAAATCATCCTCCTCCCGGAGCAGGATGGGGCCACAGTGGGCGATCAAATTTTTGAATAGGAAAAAAAAATTAAAGATCTTCTCAAGAGCAGTAAATCCACGATAAGGAATATTTATATGGAAGCAGACGGTATAGATTCAAGTTTGTTGATGTCATGACCCCTAGGGGTGGGGCTGGGCCACAATAGGAGATAATGAAAAATATAAGAAAAAATCTTCTTCTTAAGAACAGAAAAGCAGCTATTTTTAGTCACATGGAGGCAAATTCTGGTTATATAGATTCAATTTGTTAAGATTATAGCCCCCGGGGGTAGGTCGGGGCCATAATAAGAGATCAGTTTTACATAGGAATATGTAGGAAATTTTTTTTGAACTATGTCCTATGATGAAAAGCAAATCCATGACTAGTCGTATTTCTATGCAAGCATCCTCAGGTAGTTTAGATTGAAGTTTGTTCAATCAGGGTCCTAAAGAAAAGGTTGATGCAATAGCTTGATGCAATCGGGGATCAGAGATTTACAAGGGAGTATAAAGGAAGGAATCCTTTCAAATGTTGCAAGACCACACTAAATCATATTAATAAGCTTTTAAAATAACTTTTTTTTATAAAGTTTTCAGTTAGGATTGGTCTGAAATTAGAGATTCAAATTTTTCATATGCAGAGATAAAAAATCTTCTCTAGAACAGCAGAGCCATGATGTCCGTATTAATATTGAAGCATCCCAATGTTGCGTTGATTCAACTTTTCCTCACTTATTTTTACGAGTATTTTCACTAATAAATCTATTCTTAAGAAAACCTTTTTGATTGTCATGTATAAGATAATCTAATACACATTTTATTCTATTTGTGATGCAATTTTATATATGAGACGCTAAGTAACGAAATTGGTCGTCAATTTTTTTTTAAGAATTCTCTCGATATTTCTCCTTTAGGTTAATATGATATAATTCCTTGTTTTTGAGCGGTAGATAGTTCCCCCTTTTGAAATCCATAGTTAATTGATCTAATAAGGAACTGTCCAATATCTTTCCAGAAAAAATTCAGTAAAACTCAGTTGTAAATCAATCACTTCCTTGGCTTTTGTCGTTTTTCATATTTTTCAGTGCTGTTTGAGCTTCAGCGTTGGATACTGCGGTAAAGGACCCAAGGGTATGGATTGCATGTCCAAAAATGAGTGTACACCCTTAAATTTGTTCAAATGTCCAAAAAGGAGCCTACACCCTTTCAATTGTTCAAATGTCCAAAAAGAGCTATCACCCTTAAACTTGTTCAAATGAAGTGCATCAGTTTGACTGTATGCCTTTTGGGATCGTGTTTACTTCTGCGCATCAAGGAGCAAGCATCAAGCTTCATGTGTGCTGTGAATACTGATAATACATATAGAGTCCTCATCAGATACATGTACATATAGAGTCCTCATCAAATACATATAGAGTCCTCATCAGATACATGTAGAGTCCTCATCAAATACATATAGAGTCCTCATCAAATACATATAGAATCCTCATCAGATACATATAGAGTCCTCATCAGATACATGTACATATAGAGTCCTCATCAAATACATATAGAGTCCTCATCAAATACATATAGAGTCTTCATCAGATACATATAGAGTCCTCATCAAATACATATAGAGTCCTCATCAGATACATGTAGAGTCCTCATCAGATACATATAGAGTCCTCATCAGATACATATAGAGTCCTCATCAGATACATATAGAGTCCTCATCAGATACATATAGAGTCCTCATCAAATACATATAGAGTCTTCATCAGATACATATAGAGTCCTCATCAAATACATATAGAGTCCTCATCAGATACATGTAGAGTCCTCATCAAATACATATAGAGTCCTCATCAAATACATATAGAGTCCTCATGAGATACATATAGAGTCCTCATCAGATACATATAGAGTCCTCATCAAATACATGTAGAGTCCTCATCAAATACTTATAGAGTTCTCATCAAATACATATAGAGTCCTTATCAAATACATATAGAGTCCTCATCAAATTGTAGATGTCAACTAAGTCCCAAGTCGCAATACTTGTATTTCTAAGATATATTTTAATCAAAACAGATTAATGTACAAGATATCTTCAAAGACACTTTCATAAAGTAAATGACGAGGGAAAAATAATATAATAATTATTTTGGGACTTCCAGACAGATTTTCTACAAATCACATCCTGCACACAGTGAATAGGGAAAATGAGTCTGCACAGTGAGAACATTATTTGACAAATTGATTTATTTTTTAAGAGCCATTCTTTGTAATGACTTGAACTTTTATATAGGAGCTGTGGCACGCATAGTCTCAGAATTTCTCCAAACTCTCTATGATAAAAGTCTATAATTTAATTTTGTTTGTATTCTTGCCTCTGATTGGTTAATATCCAAAAAGGAACACAAATTATTTCTGTATAACCTGGTTTGGTATGGGACCCCCCCCCCCCCCCCGACAACCAGCTGAATCGTCTGTATCCATGCAATCCTCTCATTTCCAGTCCTCGGGATTCATGGAAAATTCCAGATTTAATAAATGTACCTTTAACTTCAAACAGTAACTTGGATCTTACCCCATGTAAACAATCAACAAGGCTGCTAGGCCTATGTATCAGTTTTTACCTCCCATTGCTTCCGATCACTTCCGTTACTAGGGTTGTATTATTGAGCGGCAAATTTGAACTAATAAAAAGCAACGAAATTTTACACCGCTTCGCGGATTATAAAGCGTAAACTGACCCAAACCAGGTTATACTCGAATAATTTGGCCAAGAATTAAAGTCATTCCTAAATTGATACCGTAAACTCAACTCAGGCAAAAATTGGTTTCTACGTGTCATGGTTACCATAGCAAACATGTCCTAAAGTTTTAAATGCATGATAAACCTGTTTGGTAAATCATCTATAACATACGTTACTATGGAAACAAAGTATTCAAAAGTAATAATTTTGTTCATTTAATTTTATAAAGTCATACACTTAAGAATAAAAACAATTATAGGTTGAAATGCAAGCAAATAATAGAGAAGAGATCCTTGTAACATATACCAAGGACAAAATATGATATGGCACCTGATCCCACCTCTGATGTTTAGAGGTCCGTGTTTGCTCTGCTCCTATTTTTTTGTATTGTTTAATGGACTTGTGAGCTTGAATACTGTTCGTTATCTCCATATATTTCATTCTTATAGGTTGGCAATGGTTGCCATGGTTTTAATACCACGAAGGGATTTTAAATTTACTCTCTTAGTGTTTTAATCTTATCCTATCTTTTTAAAAAGCATATTTCAATATAACTGATGATCAATTTTTAAAGGCCTTGGTGTGACCCTAATGTTCACATTTCAAAAAATTCAATTTCAATTCTTTAAATAGTGCGTTGCTATGAAAAGAAGGCGACAAAACATTCATAAAAATCTGAAAAATACTCAGTTTCCTTGGATACGTACCGTTGTATGTAGATTCCCAAAACATTAATGATTGATATATGTGAACAACTAACCTGACTTTCAATTTTGACTATCACCCAATCTCTAACTGGATGCAAAAAGCTGGCACAGAGGGTCTAATATTGAGAAATCGAACATTTTCTCTTCTTGGTAACCATAGCAACAGTGTTGTATTTTTCAACAACCTTTATCAATATATGATATTCAACTTTAGTTCTACGAGAAAAGTACTATTCAAGGTGATTCAAATAATATTTTTCTTGATAAAAAGGTTAGTAAATTCCTAAAGCAGCAAAAAAATATCACTTTAAACAACTAGTACGTTGTTTCCATGGTTACACTGCAAAGTAACAATTAATCTCAATTTTTCTTATGTTGTCGGTGTTGCAAGTTCCTAAGGATGCATATGTGCCAGTCATTAATTTTATTGTTTTTCCTCACGATAGTAGCATTAACCCAATCATAGCAACAGATTTTGCATGGTGACACTGTGTTACCATGGCAACCATGAAAGTTATTTTTAGGATAATATTGCCAATATCTAATTACATGGGGTCAAATATTTTTCATTGTTTTTCTTACTTTGTTGATTGAGTTTGATCATGTAACATCTATCATTTGTGACTATAGAGCGTTTTTCAACATTTTTCAGCATCTAAAATGTATTCCAAATGTACCCATGGTTACCACTTACTTAGAGATAAATTCTAAATAATCTTTTTATGCCATAAGTGACAACAAGGTGTCATGTTTTTGGGAGAATGGTTTGTTTTTCTTAGTCTTTATTAAGGCTTTATAAAGATTTAAAGTAGCTGAAAATCTCAATTTTTTCAACTTTTCTGGCTGTTACCATGGCAACCAAGACACATAGCAACGAAATTTTATTTGATATATGTTTCTGGTGTCAAGTTGTAATAATGGGCAAAGTTTCATCAAAATCGATGACCATGCGTGGCAAAGAAGTTTAAGTGGTTACAGAGAATCGCTATTAATAATATGTATAATAATGATAAAAATATCATTTCTTTTTTTAACACCGGTGCATATGTATATATAAATGTAAATAAGAAAGAACTAAATACTGAAAAATAAAACTTCGCTCTGTATATATTCAGCCCAGGGGTGGCATATTTGCACAGAAGGTGGCATGATAAAGCACGACTCTAGAAGTCTCTAAATAAAGCACGACTCTAGAAGTCTCTAAATAAAGCACGACTCTAGAAGTCTCTAAATAAAGCACGACTCTAGAAGTCTCCAAATTGATTTTTATTATGAAGCAGCAATTGTTTCTCTGATCCACGGTAGAAAATTCCCGACTTTCGCGTACATTCCCGGAAAATTTGGAGCCGCACAGGATTTCCCCCAGGAGGTAATTCCCAGAATGGCTTGTGTACCTTGGAAAAAGAAAAAAAATGGAAAAAAAATATTAATATCCTAAGCGACTTTTTTTTAGAACAAGAGATATATGGTATAACTGACACACAAGAGGGTATAGGTAAAAATTCTAAACCATGGTGCAAAAAGACAGGCAGTTGATGTCAACGTTGCTCTTCAGCGTTGAATCGACGTCGAATTTTAGTTGCATATGAAAGTTGAGGCAACGTTGAGACATCAACGTTGTTGCAACGTCAATTTTCAACGTTGAATAGACGTTGAAAATGAGTTGAACTTTAGTTGATTTTTAGTTGAATTTCGGTTGAAAATGGAAGTTGAGGCAACGTGAAACTTCAAGCATTGACAACGACAGTGAAGCAGTGAAGTGTTGAATATAGATCATAGATGGCATACTTTATATAAAACACATATTAAACATTTTATTACTATACTGTAAGCACAATTCTTTTGTAAGTAATTAAAATTGATTCATAATCATATGCATTTTATTTATTGTAAATAATCATATTTTCTAATAATGCATTGATCATTGGATGAAATAATCTTACCCTCGACTTCGCACGTGAGCGGCCCCCCGCTGTCCCCCTGACAGGTATCGATGCCTCCCTCAAGGTACCCCGCACAAAACATATTCTCTGTCACGTGTCTAAAGTCCTTGTACAACTCTCTACATATTGTCTGGTTAATTATAGGAACTTCTGCAAACTTTAAGTCATCTGGGAGTCCTGAAATGTTAAAGAGTTTTGTAAATATACAATAATAATAATAAAACTAGATGAGATCTCGTTGCGAGCAACGAGTAGGTCTTCCGTTAGATTTCTGATAAGATCTTGATTGGGAAATTTTGATTGATAAAAGAAAGTAAAAAATCTTTAAATGAAAAAAATATTCATGTCAATTCTTCAAAATATGTTTAGCAACACATTAAAGACTGAAATCTATCAATTTCAACAACTTCCGGTCTTTTTTATTCACTTCCGGTATGACAGGAAGTACTCAAAATGACTTTTAACTCCTCACTGAGTGTGGAGGAATCATCCCTTAAAGTTTCGAGGAAAAATGAGCATTTTTTCGCTTACTTCCGGTTTGGAAGAAATCACTTCCGGTGGAAATAATATGACTCGAAACAGTCTATTTGCCTCTATTATTAACATTTCAAAAAGAATAAAATAAAAATTTGCATATTTTTAAACTACTTCCGGTGGACAACGGACGTCACGGCAACAAAAACGAAACACGTTTCTCAATTCTACGAGTCACAATCTATCATCCTATCATGGTAAGAAAAAAAAAAATAACTAGATGTGATCTCGTTGCGTGCAACGAGTAGGTCTTCCGTTAGATTTCTGATAAAATCTTGATTGGGAAATTTTGATTGATAAAAGAAAGTAAAACAACTTTAAATGTAAAAAATATTCATAATAATTCTTCAGAATTGTTTAGCAACTCATAAAAGAGTGAAATCTATTAATTTCAAACAACTTCCGGTCTTTTTTATTCACTTCCGGTATGACCAGAAGTAGTCAAACTGACTTTTAACTCTTCACTGAGTGTGGAGGAATCATCCCTCAAAGTTTCGAGAAAAAATGAGCATTTTTTCGACTACTTCAGGTTCGGAAGAAATAACTTCCGGTGGAAATAATATGACTCGAAACAGTCTATTTGCCTCTATTAAAAACATTTCAATAAGAAAAAAATGAAAATTTGCATATTTTTAAACTACTTCCGGTGGACAACGGACGTCACGGCAACATAAACTATACAGGTTTCTCAAATCTACGAGTCACAATCTATCATCCCTGAAAGTTTCAAGACTCAATCTCCAACCGTTTTTGAGAACACTCGCGGACAAAATGCCATTTTAAAAATGGAAAATTGGCCATATCTCGCGACCGGAAGTGACGACGACAAAATAAAAAAAAAACGCATAAAGTTCAGATAATTTGCCATCATTGCTGAAAGTTTCGTGAAAATCTATCAAGGCGTTCTCGAGAAATCGTCTGCACAAAATCGGTAAGAAAAAAAAAAAAATAATAATAGTGGAAAAGAAACAACAGAATCAGTAGAAGGTCTTCCGTTGGAAACGGAAGACCTTAAAAATCTTAACACTTTATTCATAGTTTTTGTTTTGATTTATATTAACTGTTAACGACAGCAATTAGTTGTACAGTTTATTGGAGAAATATTGATATTGATAGACATTATTACTTTTATTTCTAACACATGTTTTACAGACTAAAAATCTGAATAATACCTGAGTAGATGGTGGTTATCTCTATGAAACTCAAAAGGTAAACCATTTATAAGTGCATTATGAAGGACTTATTATAAAAAAAAAAAACTAACTTTTTAGCTAGTCAAATTGCTTAAGGTCAAAATCAATTTAATGAAGGAGGCCTGCAGTATTCTCAAATAAGATAAATGAACTCCTTATATGTTTTATAACTATAGGTTTGTAAAATAAGGTATATAGAAGCATACTGTTTTGCTTTTGTTTGTTTGTTTGTATGTTGTTTAACATCCCTCTCGAGAATATTTCACTCATATGGAGACGCCACCACTTGCCGGTGGAGAGCTGCAAATTTTGTCCTATACTCGGCACTGAGGGCCATTGAGCAGTGAGGGATCTTTTTCGTGCCAGCACCTACTGCGACAAGGGACCTCGGTTTATACGGTATCATCCGAAGGACCGGTCTCCACGTCCCACAGTGGGATTCGATTGTGATTTTGGTAATCACAACGTGAAATTTTTAAATTATTTTTAAACTGTAATTCTCAAAAAATGAAGAAAACCAGTTATAAATGTGTATTTTTTTATATATATATCAGAGACAAATGAAATGAATCCCGATTGCATACAATCTCTCAGAAAACGTCAAATTTTTTGTGACCTCTTCCTTAAAATGATATTAAAATAAAAAGGGTATCCTGATTACTTTTAAAAAGATCTCAAATTGAATTCATTGAAAATGATTCATTTTCCACAGAATTCTACTATGGCTGTATAGGAAAAATTAATTTTATATCAATTGTGTCGTAAAATGGATCAAGGACAATTTGAACTTCTTTGAAATCACTAATTTTCGAAGGGGTTTGATTTTCGTTGTTTTAGAGGTATAATGAAACTCGATATCAACAGCCTTGTTTAAAGTCATCATTTTCAAAATTTTATGGTCAATACAATGACCTTGTTAACAAATACAATCTATCGTTAATTCGAATGCTGACTGAATTTTTTTTCATACTAATTGTTAGGCCATTATTTAAACACTGAAATGTCTGTTTGCTCGATCCAGACAATAAGCGTACGGCGGGTGTGACCGGTCGGCAGGGGATGCTCTCTCCTCCTTGACACCTGATCCCACCTCTGATGTTTTAGAGGTCCGTGTTTCCTCTGCTCCTGATTTGTATTGTTTCTGTGGTCTTTTGAGCTTGATTACTGCTCGTTATCTCCATTTTTCTTGAAGAGATCCACGAATTTATGTCCACCACGAAATTAATAATACCCAATACATAACTACTCAATAATTCTCCATCCACAAAATTAAATCCCCACAAACCTACGGTTTTTCTCAAACCACGAAAATTTGACCCCAGAAAAATATTATTTTATACTCAGTATACACTGAACAAATTGTGTTTCAAGATCCCTGTATGACGTTACATACCGTTATTTCCAATAGGCTCAGTAGTATTTCCCCATCCGGATACAAAGCATTTCCGGCCTGCATTGTAAGCTGTTGTTTCCGTTGGCAGACATGCTGGCTGTACATATTGGTTGAATTTTATGCCGTCTCCGTCCTTAGCGGCTATTTTAATCAAGGCTATGTCATTGTCAAAAGTCTGCACTAAAAATAACATTGTTGCAAAACTGATCTATCAAAATTTCAAAATAACGGACAAGGAGAAAATAACTTTAGTTTTTTTTAAGAATCGGATTAATTTCTTGGGACCTTTTTACTTCTTCTTTAAGTTATTTTCTAGGTAATATGTTAAACTCCCTACAACTGTTACATAGATATAAACATATTTCGGTTAATTCTCTTACTATTGTTTTCATACATGAGAGACAAGCAGAAATTTCTAAAACTGAATTTCTAGGCACCTGAATTTTAATGGGAAATAATCTAATCAAACAGTTATTATATGGAAAGGCAACTTCGAATGATACGTTAAAAAGCAATTATCGGTTTCATGTCAACCTCATTCTTTTTTTGTTTAATTTAACCTTGGTATAGTGTGAAATACTCAAAATACCTTACTGTTTTCACCAAGCTTCCATCAGTCGTAACAGGAGAAAACAGTGCACGTCATTTAAGTGAATTTTCTCTGAAAAATCTGAAGAACTCCCAGTGTGTACACAGTTATAGTACAAGCTAGAACTCCCAGTGTGTACACAGTTCTAGTACAGGCTAGAACCCCCAGTGTGTACACAGTTCTAGTACAAGCTAGAATCCCCAGTGTATACACAGTTCTAGTACAAGCTAGAATCCCCAGTGTGTACACAGTTCTAATACAAGCTAGAACCCCCAGTGTGTACAAAGTTCTAGTACAATCTAGAACCCCCAGTGTGTACACAGTTCTAGTACAAGCAGAACCCCCAGTGTGTACACAGTTCTAGTACTAGCTAGAACCCAATTGTTTTTGTGCTGATAGTGACTGGTTAATGATCCATGCAGTGGTGGTTAATGGTGGGTGTTGCGCTATTAACCGCTTACCACCCAGCTAACACACAACAAAGGGTGATTAAGGATCAAAGGGTGCATATACTACTAAAACAAGCTAGCTAGCACACAACAGAGGGTGATTGAGAATCAAAGGGTGCATATACTACCAAAACAAGCTAGCTAGCACACAACAGAGGGTGATTAAGGATAAAAAGGTGCATATACTACCAAAACAAGCTAGCTAGCACACAACAGAGGGTGATTAAGGGTAAAAGGGTGCATATACTACTAAAACAAGCTAGCTAGCACACAACAGAGAGTGATTGAAAATCAAAGGGTGCATATACTACTAAAACAAGCTAGCTAGCACACAACAGAGGGTGATTAAGGATAAAAGGGTCATATACTACCAAAACAAGCTAGCTAGCACACAACAGAGGGTGATTAAGGATAAAAAGGTGCATATACTACTAAAACAAGCTAGTTAGCACACAACAGAGGGTGATTAAGGATTAAAGGGTGTATATACTACCAAAACAAGCTAGCTAGCACACAACAGAGGGTGATTAAGGGTCAAAGAGTGTATACACTACCAAAACAAGCTAGCTAGCACACAACAGAGGGTGATTAAGGATTAAAGGGTGCATATACTACCAAAACAAGCTAGCTAGCACACAACAGAGGGTGATTAAGGGTCAAAGAGTGTATACACTACCAAAACAAGCTAGCTACCACACAACAGAGGGTGATTAAGGATTAAAGGGTGCATATACTACCAAAACAAGCTAGCTAGCACACAACAGAGGGTGATTAAGGATAAAAGGGTGCATATACTACCAAAACAAGCTAGCTAGCACACAGCAGAGGGTGATTAAGGATAAAAGGGTGCATATACTACTAAAACAAGCTAGCTAGCACACAACAGAGGGTGATTGAGAATCAATGGGTGCATATACTACTAAAACAAGCTAGCTAGCACACAACAGAGGGTGATTAAGGATAAAAGGGTGCATATACTACTAAAACAAGCTAGCTAGCACACAACAGAGGGTGATTAAGGGTCAAAGAGTGTATACACTACCAAAACAAGCTAGCTACCACACAACAGAGGGTGATTAAGGGTCAAAGAGTGTATACACTACCAAAACAAGCTAGCTAGCACACAACAGAGGGTGATTAAGGATTAAAGGGTGCATATACTACCAAAACAAGCTAGCTAGCACACAACAGAGGGTGATGAAGGGTCAAAGAGTGTATACACTACCAAAACAAGCTAGCTAGCACACAACAGAGGGTGATTAAGGATTAAAGGGTGCATATACTACCAAAACAAGCTAGCTAGCACACAACAGAGGGTGATTAAGGATAAAAGGGTGCATATACTACAAAAACAAGCTAGCTAGCACACAGCAGAGGGTGATTAAGGATAAAAGGGTGCATATACTACTAAAACAAGCTAGCTAGCACACAACAGAGGGTGATTGAGAATCAAAGGGTGCATATACTACTAAAACAAGCTAGCTAGCACACAACAGAGGGTGATTAAGGATAAAAGGGTGCATATACTACTAAAACAAGCTAGCTAGCACACAACAGAGGGTGATTAAGGGTCAAAGAGTGTATACACTACCAAAACAAGCTAGCTACCACACAACAGAGGGTGATTAAGGGTCAAAGAGTGTATACACTACCAAAACAAGCTAGCTAGCACACAACAGAGGGTGATTAAGGATTAAAGGGTGCATATACTACCAAAACAAGCTAGCTAGCACACAACAGAGGGTGATGAAGGGTCAAAGAGTGTATACACTACCAAAACAAGCTAGCTAGCACACAACAGAGGGTGATTAAGGATTAAAGGGTGCATATACTACCAAAACAAGCTAGCTAGCACACAACAGAGGGTGATTAAGGATAAAAGGGTGCATATACTACAAAAACAAGCTAGCTAGCACACAACAGAGGGTGATTAAGGATAAAAGGATGCATATACTACTAAAACAAGCTAGCTAGCACACAACAGAGGGTGATTGAGAATCAAAGGGTGCATATACTACTAAAACAAGCTAGCTAGCACACAACAGAGGGTGATTAAGGGTCAAAGAGTGTATACACTACCAAAACAAGCTAGCTAGCACACAACAGAGGGGATTAAGGATTATGGGTGCATATACTACTATAGCAAGCAACAGTGCAAAAAAGGAAGTGCTCGGCTAGAAATAAGAACGACAATATTGAACATCAGATGATCTAACTTGTCTTTCCACATTTTTTGGTATAATATAAAATTTGATGTTATCAATATTTAAACAAAAAATATTGTTGGAAGACAATATCAATATGCCGAAATACATTATTTTTTATAAAAGCAAGTAAAAAAAGCTATGTCCATCTTAAGCAGAGGAAGTTTGTTTGGAAATAATGATTTCTCTCAAAATATCTGAAGAGTAAACTCACTATTGTATTTTTCGTGTTTGTAAAGTCTTTCTATTTCAAACTCCTCTTCACCGACATCCGGGTTCTCATTGTTCTGATCCCCAACTCGAATGGTAAACAAACTGACGTCATCAAAACTAAGATAAAATGAAAATCAATGAAACAGGTATACCAACTGACGTCATCAAACCTAACATAGAATTAAAATCAATAAAATAGATATACCAACTGACTTCATTAAACCTAACATAAAATGAAAATCAATAGACAGGTAAACCAACTGATGTCATCAAGCCTAACATAAAATGAAAATCAATAAATCAGGTAAACAAACTGCGTCATTAAATTTAATAAAAATGAAAACACCAAGATGGAAACACTTAACACAGATAAACTAACTGACGTCATAAAACCTAACATATCAAAACAATACGCATCAGGAAAATCCAAATCTAACCAATCAAAATTGACTGTAGCACTAAGACTCCATAAATTACCAGCCAGAAAAGCAGTACTAAAAACTGATAACTAACCAGTCAAAACAAAGTAAAGCACTACAAATCTATAACTAACCAAGCATCTTAATTTCTCTTACTTACTAATCAAAACAATGCGCAGCAGTCAGAATCCAGTGTGGACTAAGAATTGTCCCACCACACCAATGTCCGGAAGGAGGGCTTCCAATTCTAAGGCCTGCTTGCCAGGGCACCATGCCAGGAACAGCATCAATTCCTCCAACGATTCTTGGTAAAAGTTGTTTCTTATTCTCTTCGCTTATCATTGGGCGTTTGCCACAATCTATATAAAAAAAACAACAGAGTTCCCATGTTTTCATCAAACTTTTTTGCGTTGAAAAAATTCTATTTTAGACAAAGCTCTTATAATAAGGGCAATTTCTAAATATTTCATCAACTTAAAAACCTTTTAAAAACCTAACGAAAGATTTTCAGTGGTGTTTGTCATTAAAAATTTGGATGTTTTTCTGTTTCCTTATGTAAAAATGTCATAAATCAGTTTCGGATTCTAATAACCAGGGAGCAGTCAGACCCGGATCAAACAGGGTAGTGAGCGTTGAAACCATACATTTAAGTCCAGCTGTATCAGGACGTAATTCAAATTATTAACATATCATACCTACACAATATTCAATACGCAAGGTAGCTATTCATTTACTTGTAAATGAATAGCTACCTTGCGTATTGAATATATTTGAGTTCAGCTATATTAGGACTTAATTCAAATAATTAACATACTCATAATCATGCATGTACCTACACAATATTCAATTTGCAAGGTAGTTACGTATTCATTTACTTGTTTAGTTTTGGGTAATTTATCAACGATAACTTTTACTATAAATTTGTTAATTGTTAATAGCCATTCTCTGTAAGCATTTAAACTCTTATATAGGGAGTGTGGCACGCTAGGTCTTAGATTTTTATGAAACTTGGCACACATTCCTATAATGACGTATGAAACTAAAATTCATAATAAAATGGTTGCTATGGTCAATGGTTACCATGGCAACCAAGATACATTTTTCATGGCCTAAAAAATGCTAAATTTTGATGAAAAATGACCATTTTTGACTAATTAAAAGTCTTTAATACAACAAGATATTTACATTACTTTATTTTTTTTGTCAAAATACATCATTTTTATAGTTCTTTAGATAATTTCTAGTATTTGAGTAACTTAATCTCATAGAAAGAATATCCCCCCTTTTTAAGTATGATTTTTCTAAGGAAAAATTGTAGATTTTAGGCTCTTTTGAAAAGCCTGTTATAAATTTTTGCGGACATATTGGAAAAAATAAATACATTGGTTTGAAAGTCCATATATAGTTGTAATATAAACTGCAAAGAACCACTTGGTATTCATATCTTGTTTTCATGTTACCATGGTTACAAACTGATGCTTTTTTTAAGAATTCCAGACAAAGGCAATTTAGGTATCTACAATCAGTTTCCATATAAATACCTGAGTATTTTAAAATGGATTAAAACCAGATTTGTACATGTAGTACACAATAGCAAAAACAATGAAAAAAAAAATCAATTTTCATAACAAAAGGTCAAAGGTCAAGGTCAAATGGCTCGATTTAGATGGAAAAGTAAGGACACTAAGCAAATTTTTTTCAATGCCATAACTAATACTTGTGTTTTAAACAACATAATTATGAATAAACAAAATTACAGTTCTGGTGGACAATACATGTAACTATAGCATCACATGAATTGGTAAATACGGACAGAAGGTCAAAGTTCAAAGACACAATGGTATATAAAATTTGCCTTTTTGTCCCCTGCTTTCACTTAAAGTGGGGGATATTTATTTAGGTCTGTGTGACGTCTATCCTTCTGTCTTTCTGCAACACTTTCGTTTCTGCACGATGTCTCGTGAAGCCTTTGAACCTTTGCAATGAAAGTTTATATAACAACTCCCTGTGGCCTAAGGAAGACCCCCATTGATTTTAAGGTCAAAGGTAAAGGTCATGAATTCATAAATTCTGTCTGTTTTAACACTTTATTTCCGCGCAATATCTCAAAAACTTCGACCTTTTCACTGCAGCAATGAAATTTTACGCTGAAACTCCCTATGGTCTAAAGAAGACCACTATAGATTTCGAGTTCAAAAGGTCAAAGGTCAAGGTAAAAAATTTATACATTCTGTTTGTGTGTAAAATTTTCATTTCCGTGCGATATCTCAAGAAGCTTTTAAGCTTTTGCAATGAAATTTTATATCATAACTCCCTTTGGTCCCGCCCGCAACTCTTAAAGTATCCCGTCTCCACTACCCCACCATCCTCCGACCCCACCCCTCAAGATCCGTACATGCTCTTTTTTCCTTAAGCAGGGGACACAGCTTCTCTGAATTAGCTTGTTAGTATAGCATTTAACTTGAGTCCTTGAAAATATTGAAAATTATCTGTCCCTGCCTTCTTCCTATGGTTTTCATTTTTTAAAATGAACATGATAAAGTAACCTATGACCAGGACTTACTCTATCCCTTCCAGGAACCATGTAAAAGCACTTACCCCACATAAATTGGTAACTAAGAGTCACTTGTAAGAAAAACACGGATCCCTTGTGAAACATTAAGAAGCATTATATATAAATATGAAAGAAATCGGTTCATTCATAAGTGATTAACCCCAACCCGCACCCATTCCCGAGTATAGATTTTTTGTGTTTAATTTTATGATTTTATTTCTTTTGGTAGAAAGGGTGGGGTGGGGGTGGGGGGCTTGTCAGAAATTTATTATTGTTTTTATTATCAATAAAATACAGCTACACAGATTTACTATTAATTTTACTGCTAAAAGGTTCAACCTACATTTTTCTAAGTCTAGAGAAATGATAAACTTGATAAAAATGATAACTTTAAATATGATTCAGACAATTTGTATTTCTAGACACCCCCCACCCCCCTTAAAAAAATCAAAAGAATAATTTTCACTGGTCGAAAGGAATCGATTACAAAACAAAACATTTTCATTACTGACCTTAAGAATTTTTTTTTATTCTTTTTTTTTTTTGGATAAAGACCATTCCCTTAAAGAAAATACTTGGATCAGGAACATTATCAATTTCTTTGTAAATATTTTCAAAGTCATTGAATAAAAAGTTCAAATCTGAAATATATACAGATAACTTTTCTCTCTTTTTTTCTGAATCAGATACAGATAAAGGCAAACAGTAGTATTAAAACAGTAGTATTAAAAAGATTGAGTTTTCTGTTACATCCCTCACTAAAACAGGGTTTTTAGGTGTTGATTGTTTTCTACATGTAGCCTTCAAAAAGAGATAAAATATACTTTTACGTTCTTTAATTTTAGAATGAGGGTGTAAAGAGTATCAGTTTATATTTTAAATGTAGCAAATCCTATCAAGTGAAAACACTCATCATATAAAAATTTTAAATTATGAATGACATAAATTCTGTTTAAAACTGCATAATATGACTGCGTTGACTATTGGTTAAGGTACGACCATTTGATTCAGAAGGGGGGGGGGGGCAATTTTTTTCCGAGTCAGATTATTTATTTTCATGGAATTGAAGGACAGATTATTTATTTCCAATATGATCCAGGACAGATTATGTATTTTTTGCTTCACTGAAAAAATCTGAAAATAAAATAAACAATCCATCCCACCCCAAGGGAAAACGCCCAAACTTTATTTTGTGGGGGGGGGGGGGGGTTAGGCATTTGTTTCAAGAACGGACTTTAGTTTCTAAAATCTGTAACCTCCCCCTCGCATCAAATGGTCATCCCTTTAATGACAGACATCAACTTACATACATCATTCAATATAAACTTCAACTTCCACTTCTGTACAAACATGTAAATGTAGCTTGACTTTAATTATTTAGGTAAAATCAATAGCCTAGTTCCCTCACATTATAATTCAGTTTTTTGTGTTTTTTTTTCCACATTTGTTTTAAAAAGGCAAATATATCACTCTGACTGAGACACTGTACCTCTTCTTACAACCAATTCAATATAATTCTGATATCTCAAGTTTATCTTTTATCTCCATTTTAAAACTCCTAAGACCTTGAGGCTTATAGGCTTCAATATCATGAATGTGCACAGAGCTGATTTCCTGTACCATGTGGTCTTTTACATTTCGCCACTGTTCACTCATCAAAATTATTCTTTTGCATGCAGGAAATAAACAAAGAGGTTAAAATTTGTATGCACATTAAATAAACAGAAAAACCACTTGATTTTACTTGAAATCCAGGATACATGTTGATAATGTAAACAAATTCCAGTCAGTTTTGTCCAATGATTTTTTTATCTCTCGCACTAAAGAGCTCACAATTATCAAAGGGAGATAATTCAATTTTTAAGTGAATGTCTGCTATTTTAATCATAGATTTCTTATATTTATAGACTGAATACCAACAATGTTTTAAGATGCCTTTTAAAATCAGATGTCGTACTTTTTATTTCTGTGAGTAACATGAATTGAAGTAGCTGCATTTCATTGATTGACATTCCCAAAAACTGCATTTTTTCAGAAAAAATCAACTTTTGACACCGTTTCCATGGTAACTACTCAACATTCATATGATCTAACAATATTTTTTGGAGCAGTTTATGAGGTGGTAAATTCTAGCCAAATTTGAAAAAAATCTGTGACTATGCGTGCCACAAAAGTTTAAGTGGTTACAGAGAATGGCTATTAATTTGTAACAATTATGATCACCTGAAGGAAGTTTCTTGGATTCAGGTAGATCATCAAATGAATGACATATTACACCTGCATCATCCTCATGTGTACAGTTATTGACGCCCCATCCAGAATGATCACAGTCTAGTAAGGAATCTTCATCACCCGTACAGGTGACGTCACTGAGATATATAGGACCTGACCCCTGTCCAAAAGCCGCTTGAGACGCTGCCTCTCCACTCCTACAAAGGATATACAACTTATATCTCAAGATTAAAGAATATGTATTTCTTACTTATATTTCCTCACCTATATCACAAGATCTGCTACCGCTTAAATCTCCTTTCCAGTTTAATTTTATTTATTTCATCTGTGTCACGTGATCTAATCAATCCTCCACTGATTCATGTATCCTTGCCTGTGTCAGGTGATCTATCAATCCTCCCCTGACTTATTAATCTTTACCTGTGTCACGTGATCTATCAATCCTCCCCTGATTTATTAATCTTTACCTGTGTCACGTGATCTATCAATCCTCCCCTTATTTATTAATCCTTACCAGTGTCACGTAATCAAACAACCTCCCCTAATCCTTAAGTCCACACCTATGTCAGGTGGTCTTTCAAATTTGTCCTCACCTGTGTCACGTGATCTATTTATCAATTCTAACCTGAATCCAAGCATTCTACAGACAACGCTGGCATCAAGGTCGTCCCAGTTATCATCACAGATCGTTCCTCTCACGCCACTGTATTCTATCTCTACTGTACCAAGGTTGGCAAATCCATCAAAGCTGTTCACCAACCGAATCTTTATGTTATCTATGAAAGTTTAATACATTCAAACATGATATTTACATCCAGTTTAATTATCTTCATAAAAGCATTAGAAATCTATAACATTAAATCCCGTACGTGAAACAGGAAACCTTCATACGCGACGCGGTAGAATACACAACAAGAACTATATACTATTATCTCAATTCACAAGGAACACCTAAATGTACATTTATTTGGCTCAATTTAATTAAAAATAATAAGCCTTTTAAAATGTTGTAAAAATGTAACAATTTTACGTTAAAAAATTAAATTAACATTTTTCCCTAGGAGAATTCAATTGCTTTTTTAAACCATGAACGTCAAAACGACTCTTACGTCTGTAAGACATACCAACTCTGAAAGGCGCTAAATTTATAATATATATAAATGAAATTAACATTTATTAAGAGAGAAAATTAGAGAATATTAGAGAATATTAATGAAAATAAGAAAAGGGTGAAGACAACGAACAATGATCGATCTCATAAAAAAGAATAAAAAAAATTCAAATCTGTGAACAGGGCACAAACGCGGACCCTTGAAAATTCCAGAGGTGGAATTAGGTGCCTAGGAGGAGTTGGCATCCCCTGTTGACCAGTTACACCCGCCGTGAGCCCTATGTATAGATCAAGTACACGGAACATTTCGTAGTCAAATTAAGTATAAAACAAAGGTCTAACAATTGGTAGGAAAAAAGTCAGCCAAAATACCATCCAGTGATGGGTTATATTTGCTTAAAAGGTCATTATAACGACCATAGAATTAACAGAATGCTGACTTTAAACGAGGTTGTTGAAATACCTGTAACATCAACGTATGTTTGAGTAGCCTGCACCGGCTTAAAAACTGGTCGCACTCCGAGCACGAAAATAACAAACGGTAATTAAGCTCTAAAGTACATTGAAACAATACAAATTAGGAGGAGGGCAAACACGGACCTCTGAAACATTAGAGGTGGGATCAGATGCCATGGAGGAGTAAGCATCCCTGTCGACCTGTCACACCATCCGTGTGCTCCTTGTTATGATCGGGCAAACGGAAAAATCCGGAAACAATTTATTGTGAAAATAATGACCTAAGAATTTGTATGAAAAACGTCAGTAAACATTCGATTTAATGATAGATGGTATTTGCTGAGGAGGTCATTGTATCCACCATAGGATTTGCGAAATGTTGATTTTAAAGGAGACTGTTCATAATCCTGCTTCATTAACTTGTTTGTCAATAGCTTGCCTTCTTTTAGAAATTGTTCGTACATAGAGCATGCCCTTGTGTATCGAATCAACTGGGAGACATAAACTCCATATGCAGGTGATAATGGTATATTAATGCATAAATTGGGGGAGTTGGTGATAGAAAAGTTGAAGTCCTTTATAAAAAAGAAAGGAAAAAAAAACATCGATATGTACAAAGTTTACTTAATTAAGCATTGAATTTCTAGTTTTGAATGTCTTCAGTCGTGTAAGAGCACTTGTTCGTGCCGCCAAATTATCATACCGCGCTAATGCACAGTATTCAATTTTTCGGCATGGCCAGGGGCTTTTATATACGACCGACGACATCCAAAAATAGGAATTCAATGCTTAATTAAAAGTAAATTTGTATATGTAAATGATTTTTTCCTTCTTTTTTTAAAGTAACTCATTTGAGAAAAGATGTTGGGAAGCAATTTGATCCACATGTTTTGGTCAAAGCGCACGTTTTCTTTCTTTTTCAGAGTTTTAAACATTTTGAAGACATAAAATCGTTGAAATATTATCTTTATGGTGTGTTTGCTGTTGGGGTATCATCTAAATTACATTTTAAATAATATATTTCTTAAAAGGCAATTCCCGTGGTCGGATCTCATAACATTATTTGAAAAAAAAAGAGGTTCTGTTTTCTATATTCTGTGTTTCTTAAAATTGAAGTTTTAAGATGCATGAATGCTACAGATTCTGTTCTACTTAGAGCAGCTTTTATCTATCAACTTTCTCTGTAAACAAAAACGTCCCCAAAAGACGTGTTCGTATCAAACTCGTTAAATCATGATATTTGAATGATTTTGTAATGGTTCATTTACATGTGATTGTAAACTACGATATGACTTCTAACCATGGATGATACATGGGATGTGTTGTATAGTTGTGTGGTACTTCTAGTGGTTAGAGGTTAAGTTTATGGTATATGTGCTGTATAGTTGTATGTTACGTCTAGTGGTTAGAGGTTAAGTTTATGGTATATGTGTTGTATAGTTGTGTGGTACTTCTAGTGGTTAGAGGTTAAGTTTATGGTACATGTGTTGTATAGTTGTGTGGTACTTCTAGTGGTAAGAGGTTAGGTTTAAGGTATATGTATTGTATAGTTGTGTGTTACTTCTAGTGGTTAGAGGTTAAGTTTATGGTACATGTGTTGTATAGTTGTGTGTTACTTCTAGTGGTTAGAGGTTAAGTTTATGATATGTGTGTTGTATAGTTGTGTGGTACTTCTACTGGTTAGAGGTTAAGTTTATGGTATATGTGTTGGAAAGTTGTGGTTTACTTCTAGTGGTTAGAGATTAAGTTTGTGGTATATGTGTTGTAAAGTTGTGGTTTACTTCTAGTGGTTAGAGGTTAAGTTTATAGTATATATATATTGTACAGTTGTGTGTTACTTCTAGTGGTTAGAGGTTAAGTTTATGGTATATGTGTTGTATGGTTGTGTGGTACTTCTAGCGGTTAGAGGTTAAGTTTATGGTACATGTGTTGTATAGTTGTGTTTAACTTCTAGTGGTTAGAGGTTAAGTTTATGGTATATGTGTTGTATAGTTGTGTGTTACTTCTAGAGGTTAGAGGTCAAGTTTATGGTATATGTGTTGTATAGTTGTGGTTTACTTCTAGTGGTTAGATGTTAAGTTTATTGTATATGTGTTGTAAAGTTGTGGTTTACTTCTAGTGGTTAGAGGTTAAGTTTTTAGTATATATATATTGTACAGTTGTGTGTTACTTCTAGTGGTTAGAGGTTAAGTTTATGGTATAAGTGTTGTATAGTTGTGTTGTACTTCTAGTGGTTAGAGGTTAAGTTTATGGTATATGTGTTGTATTTTTGTGTGGTACTTCTAGCGGTTAGAGGTTAAGTTTATGATATATGTTAAGGTATATGTGTTGTATAGTTGTGTGGTACTTCTAGAGCTTAGAGGTTAAGTTTATGGTATATGTGTTGTATAGTTGTGTGTTACTTCTAGTCGTTACAGGTTAAGTTTATGGTATATGTGTTGTATAGTTGTGTTGTATTTCTAGTGGTTAGAGGTTAAGTTTATGGTATATGTGTTGTATAGTTGTGTGTTACTTCTAAATGTTAGAGGTTAAGTTTAAGATATATGTGTTGTATAGTTGTATGTTACTTCTAGTGGTTAAAGGTTAAGTTTATGATATATGTGTTGTATAGTTGTATGTTACTCTTAGTGGTTAGAGGTTACGTTTATGGTATATGTGTTGTATAGTTATGTGGTACTTCTAGTGGCTAGAGGTTAAGTTTATGATATATGTTAAGATATATGTGTTGTATAGTTGTGTGGAACTTCTAGTGGTTAGAGGTTAAGTTTATGGTATATGTGTTGTATAGTTGTGTGTTACTTCTAGAGGTTAGAGGTCAAGTTTCTGGTATATGTGTTGTATAGTTGTGGTTTACTTCTAGTGGTTAGATGTTAAGTTTATTGTATATGTGTTGTAAAGTTGTGGTTTACTTCTAGTGGTTAGATGTTAAGTTTATAGTATATATATATTGTACAGTTGTGTGTTACTTCTAGTGGTTAGAGGTTAAGTTTATGGTATATGTGTTGTATAGTTGTGTTGTACTTCTAGTGGTTAGAGGTTAAGTTTATGGTATATGTGTTGTATTTTTGTGTGGTACTTCTAGCGGTTAGAGGTTAAGTTTATGATATATGTTAAGGTATATGTGTTGTATAGTTGTGTGGTACTTCTAGAGGTTAGAGGTTAAGTTTATGGTATATGTGTTGTATAGTTGTGTGTTACTTCTAGTCGTTAGAGGTTAAGTTTATGGTATATGTGTTGTATAGTTGTGTTGTATTTCTAGTGGTTAGAGGATAAGTTTATGGTATATGTGTTGTATAGTTGTGTGTTACTTCTAAATGTTAGAGGTTAAGTTTAAGATATATGTGTTGTATAGTTGTATGTTACTTCTAGTGGTTAGAGGTTAAGTTTATGATATATGTGTTGTATAGTTGTATGTTACTCTTAGTGGTTAGAGGTTACGTTTATGGTATATGTGTTGTACAGTTATGTGGTACTTCTAGTGGCTAGAGGTTAAGTTTATGATATATGTTAAGGTATATGTGTTGTATAGTTGTTTGGAACTTCTAGTGGTTAGAGGTTAAGTTTATGGTATATGTGTTGTATAGTTGTGTGTTACTTCTAGACGTTAGAGGTCAATTTTATGGTATATGTGTTGTATAGTTTTGGTTTACTTCTAGTGGTTAGAGGTTAAGTTTATGGTATATGTGTTGTATAGTTGTGTGTTACTTCTAGAGGTTAGAGGTTAAGTTTATGGTATTTGTGTTGTATAGTTGTGTCGTACTTCTAGTGGTTAGAGGTTAAGTTTATGGTATATGTGTTGTATAGTTGTGTGTTACTTCTAGTGGTTAGAGGTTAGATTTATTGTATATGTGTTGTATAGTTGTGTGTTACTTCTAGTGATTAGAGGTTAAGTTTATTGTATATGTGTTGTATAGTTGTGTGTTACTTCTAGTGGTTAGAGGTTAAGTTTATGGTATATGCTTTGTAAAGTTGTGGTTTACTTTTAGTGGTTAGAGGTTAAGTTTATGGTATATGTGTTGTATAGTTGTGTGTTACTTCTAAGGGTTAGAGGTTAAGTTTATGGTATATGTGTTGTATAGTTGTGTGTTACTTCTAGAGGTTAGAGGTTAGGTTTATGGTATATGTGTTGTATAGTTGTGTGTTATTTCTAGTGGTTAGAGGTTAAGTTTATGGTATATGTGTTGTATAGTTGTTTGTTACTTCTAGAGGTTAGAGGTTAAGTTTATGGTATATGTGTTGTATAGTTGTGTGTTATTTCTAGTGGTTAGAGGTTAAGTTTATGGTATATGTGTTGTATAGTTGTGTGTTACTTCTAGTGGTTAGAAGTTATGTTTAAGATATATGTGTTGTATAGTTGTATGTTACTTCTAGAGGTTAGAGGTTAAGTTTATGGTATATGTGTTGTATAGTTATGTGGTACTTCTAGTGGTTAGAGGTTAAGTTTATTGTATATGTGTTGTATAGTTGTGTGGTACTTCTAGAGGTTAGAGGTTAAGTTTATGGTATATGTGTTGTATAGTTGTTTGTTACTTCTAGAAGTTAGAGGTCAAGTTTATGGTATATGTGTTGTATAGTTGTGTGTTACTTCTAGTGGTTAGAGGTTGAGTTTATGGTATATGTATTGTATAGTTGTGTGTTACTTCTAGTGGTTAGAGGTTAAGTTTAAGGTATATGTGTTGTACAGTTGTGTTGTACTTCTAGTGGTTAGAGGTTAAGTTTATGATATATGTTAAGGTATATGTGTTGTATAGTTGTGTTGTACTTCTAGTGGTTAGAGGTTAAGTTTATGATATATGTTAAGGTATATGTGTTGTATAGTTGTGTGGTACTTCTAGAGGTTAGAGGTTAAGTTTATGGTATATGTGTTGTATAGTTGTGTGTTACTTCTAGTGGTTAGAGGTTAAGTTTATGGTATATGTGTTGTATAGTTGTGTGTTACTTGTAAGGGTTAGAGGTTAAGTTTATGGTATATGTTTTGTATAGCTGTGTGTTACTTCTAGTGGTTAGAGGTTAAGATTATGGTATATGCTTTGTATAGTTGTGTTGTATTTCTATTGGTTAGAGGTTAAGTTTATGGTATGTGTGTTGTATAGTTGTGTTGTACTTCTAGTGGTTAGAGGTTACGTTTATGGTTTATGTGTTGTATAGTTGTGTGTTACTTCTAGTGGTTAGAGGTTAAGTTTATGGTATATGTGTTGTATATTTGTGTGTTACTTATAGAGGTTAGAGGTTATGTTTATGGTATATGTGTTGTATAGTTGTGTGTTATTTCTAGTGGTTAGAGGTTAAGTTTATGGTATATGTGTTGTATAGTTGTTCGTTACTTCTACAGGTTAGAGGTTAAGTTTATGGTATATTTGTTGTATAGTTGTGTGTTATTTCTAGTGGTTAGAGGTTAAGTTTATTGTATATGTGTTGTATAGTTGTGTGTTACTTCTAGTGGTTAGAGGTTATGTTTAAGATATATGTGTTGTATAGTTGTATGTTACTTCTAGTGGTTAGAGGTTAAGTTTATGGTATATGTGTTGTATAGTTATGTGGTACTTCTAGTGGTTAGAGGTTAAGTTTATTGTATATGTGTTGTATAGTTGTGTGGTACTTCTAGTGGTTAGAGGTTAAGTTTATGGTAAATGTGTTGTATAGTTGTTTGTTACTTCTAGAGGTTAGAGGTCAAGTTTATGGTATATGTGTTGTATAGTTGTTTGTTACTTCTAGAGGTTAGAGGTCAAGTTTATGGTATATGTGTTGTATAGTTGTTTGTTACTTCTAGTGGTTAGAGGTTAATGTTTATGGCATATATGTACATTTTTATTTTGATAAAAAATGTGATGTATAGTTAAAATAAGAGATCTGCTGTCTTTTTTCTGTGGGTGATGTGTAGTTCTTTGACACTTCCAGTTGTGACTTTTTACTGTTTTTGATTGTTTGTTTAGACATTTACATGGATTATAAACAATGAAATATGGAGATAACGAGCAGTAATCAAGCTGAAAAGTCCATTGAAACAATGCAAATTTGGAGCAGTGAAAACACAGACCTCTTAAAACATCAAAGGTGGGATCAGATGCCATGCATCTCCTGTCGACCTGTCACACTCGTCGTGTACTCATTGTCATGACCGGGTAAACGGTTTCAAATTGTTCTCAATAGTTTGCCTCGTTTTAGACATGTTCGTACAAAGAGCTACTCTTGCGCAAAGAATCAACTGGGAGACATAAACTCTAAATGTAGGTGATAAGGTTATACGAAGAAGAAAAAAAATTACCCATAGGTGATTGTGTTGTTGACTGTAAAGTTGATTGTGTTGCTGACTGTAAAGTTGGGAAGGGTCTTCTAGTGGTTGTAATTGTTGAAACTGCAAATGATTAATAGAAATTATTATCACTGGGATAATATAAAATATTTATTTTGATCATGTGTCTTAGTAAATCAGCATGAAAATAGCCCAAAACCCAATAAAGTGTACAAAAAGATAATTGCAAAGCAAGGTGTGAGTGATAAGTGACGGATTACAGAAATGTGATATTTTATTTGATAACACTTTACCTGTGGATGCTTGTTTTCGCTGAAATTTTGGGATTATTCTTTTAGGAAATAAAACACCTGTAACGAATGTTTAAGAAATCATAAAAAAATATATTTCAAATAGCTTATTACTATTTGAGACATCAACAGAGCCCTAGATTTGGAGGGTCAATAAACACCACCCTATATTAGGTATAGTTAATTATAATTACAATGACACGTGAAAAGGAAATATAATACAAGTTTTGTTCATTACAATAGAACATGTAAGTGAAATGTAATACTAGGTATTGTAATACAAGGTATTGCTCATTATAATATTACATTTATGTGAAATAAATATCCTACCGTCATGCCTCTGTCCTGTTTGCAGTTTGCTGATTGGGCGAAGCATGAATCTTTGTAACCAATGAGGTCTTAGGTTACTACGATAAACTGTCCATCTCTTTTGACGAAAATAAATATTAGAAATCCAATTTGAAAGATAATTACATTTAAGAAATAAATTTCATTTTTGAGAATTCATTAAGACATGAACGACGCTTCACGCCAGCAAATTTCATGAAGCGCGTTAGCAAAAATTAAACTCATACCTTATATTTACATTATTTTACTGATGATTTGCCACATATTTTTCTCATTCAACGATCATTTTTTGAAAAAAAAGTATGCACTATTTTTTTTTACTTCAATTACATCACAATGGAAATATTCTTACTCATCCCACGGTAGTTCATGAGAACGTGAACTTTTTCTAATTTGCAGAGAATCTAAAGTGAAAATATTTGGAAATGTAAATATTTAGCAATGTACTCATTAAAGTTTGCCATATAACTAGATTTCTATGGTCGATTGTTATTCGTCGCTATTACATAACTTTATGTAGTACTAAAATAATTGATTGATTCTTAAGAGGCTACCTTAAAACCTTGACTAAATCCCTCTTCAAACAGCATGAAAAATACAAAAAGTAGGAGAAGATGGAATTTCATCTTTATTATCTGGATCGGGTCAGGGTTTTACACAATTGGTCAGTAGTCTGGGTCAGAGAAATCTGGCTCGGGTCAGAGTTTTTTCACTTGGCCAGGGTCTCAGTCTAGGTCAGAGGATTCTGGATACTCTTCTCATCGACGTCTTATTGCATGCGGAGCTTTGAAAAGTAATTAACTTGATAAATCCGGTGCTGTACAATATATTTTAAATAATTAATGACGACATGTTTCAAACATGTTTTGTTTGTTTGTTTATTTGTTGTTTAACGTCCCTCTCGAGAATTATTCACTCATATGGAGACGCCAACTCTTGCCGTGGAGGGCTTCAAATTTAGACCTATACTCGACACTCATGGCCATTGAGCAGTGAGGGATCATTTCCGTGCCAGCACCTAGTGCAACAAGGGGCATCGGTTTATACGGTGTCATACAAAGGACCGGTTTCCACACCCCGCAGTGGGATTCGAACCTGCGAGGTTAGGATCAACTCCTTACTCGGCTACTCAAGAGGAAACGCTCTAACCACTGCGCCACGTGGGCGACTGCTTTTAAATGGATTTTTTTCTTTAACATATTGAATATCGATGTCATAATATAAAAGCAGAAAAGTACAACAATATACATGTACATATTTATAAAATTGTAGTAATAAATCGTGAGCGCTTTTAAAGCATATCATTGATGCATAGGTTACATTGAAAAAAATGGAAATATTTAACCTATTTTAATAGAAAGGTATATATTTTCTGATAGAATGCATCACATAAAAAATATTTTATTTGGGGAAATTATTGAAATGTTTAATATCCAAATGCAAATAAGTTGTGCTTGCATTCTGCTCTTGAAACGAAATATACCCTCAATCCCCACCCCCACCCCCACCCCCATACACAACCCCCAACCCAAAATAGCCCCAAGAATTGGAAGGTTGGTAGACTGAAGATTTTCAATCTTTGATAATCAGGACATATTCTTTACCCCTGCATATTCAAACTGGGTGTTGTTTACGCTTTTACTTAAAGATAAAAATCAGCTGGTGTTCACATTGTGAAAACAACGATGTGGTAGATACAAACTTATTTTTGCACTGTTTGCTTGCTTTGTAGGGAAGCTTCTCTGTTTGCTTGTTTTGTAGGACTGTTGCACTGTTTGCTTGTTTTGTAGGACAGTTGCACTGTTTGCTTGTTTTGTAGGACAGTTGCACTGTTTGCTTGTTTTGTAGGACGGTTTCACTGTTTGCTTGTTTGGTAGGACAGTTGCACTGTTTGCTTGTTTTGTAGGACGGTTTCACTGTTTGCTTGTTTGGTAGGACAGTTGCACTGTTTGCTTGTTTTGTAGGACAGTTGCACTGTTTGCTTGTTTGGTAGGACAGTTGCACTGTTTGCTTGTTTTATAGGACAGTTGCACTGTTTGCTTGATTTATAGGACAGTTGCACTGTTTGCTTGTTTTGTAGGACAGTTGCACTGTTTGCTTGTTTTGTAGGACAGTTACACTGTTTGCTTGTTTTGTAGGACAGTTTCACTGTTTGCATGTTTTGTGGGACAGTTACACTGTTTGCTTGTTTTGTAGGACAGTTGCACTGTTTGCTTGTTTTGTAGGACAGTTGCACTGTTTGCTTGTTTTGTAGGACAGTTACACTGTTTGCTTGTTTTGTAGGACAGTTGCACTGTTTGCTTGCTTTGTAGGGCAGTTGCGCTGTTACGCAGCACAGTTAAGACTGCAAAAAGGAGACGGGCTAATAAAATGAAATAATTTGTAACTGTACAAGAGAATTAAACTACATTATAAGTTGTACTTTGTAGATAGTTATATCCCATATAGTATGGTAGGAAACAAGTCACTAAGTCGATGTGTCTTTTTATGATTCAATTAATATATTTCCGTTGGAGCACCGTTTGCCGTCTTTGTAGGACAGTTGCACTGCTTGCTGTCTTTGTAGGACAGTTGCACTGTTTGCTTGTTTTGTAGGACAGTTGCACTGTTTGCTTGTTTTGTAGGACAGTTACACTGTTTGCTTGTTTTGTAGGACAGTTACACTGTTTGCTTGTTTTGTAGGACAGTTACACTGTTTGCTTGTTTTGTAGGACAGTTGCATTGTTTGCTTGTTTTGTAGGACTGTTGCACTGTTTGCTTGTTTTGTAGGACTGTTGCACTGTTTGCTTGTTTTGTAGGACAGTTGCACTGTTTGCTTGTTTTGTAGGACAGTTACACTGTTTGCTTGTTTTGTAGGACAGTTACACTGTTTGCTTGTTTTGTAGGACAGTTGCATTGTTTGCTTGTTTTGTAGGACTGTTGCACTGTTTGCTTGTTTTGTAGGACTGTTGCACTGTTTGCTTGTTTTGTAGGACAGTTGCACTGTTTGCTTGTTTTGTAGGACAGTTGCACTGTTTGCTTGTTTCGTAGGACAGTTGCACTGTTTGCTTTTTTTGTAACGCAGTTGCATTATGTGCTTCTTTTGTAGGGCAGTTGCACTGTTTGATTGCTCTCTAAAGCAGTTGCTCTGCTTGTTTGCTTTGTAGGGCAGTTGAATGTATTAAAACCATGCCATATACATATTTTTGAAAAAAAAAATTAATTAATGATATAAATATAATTAAAAGAAATGCAATTATATGATTTTATTTCAACTGCTATTTCTCTTCAATCATAACGCCAGTTATGATTTTCTGTAATATGTTTGGTGAGTGGGATAGCTCTTTCATCAACCCCTTGACGGGAACTAACGGAATAACCAACAGGCACATCCAGGGAAAAAGTTTCTGTCGCGGGCTTGATAAAAGAGATACCCGATAAGAGCCCAGTAACAGCCAGAGAATATTCCGGAGTAATATCCTGTTCAATAGTTATTTGCATTTTGCTTATATGTTATTTATATTAGTCATGCCTGTAATACCATGCATATTCATAAGATTTCCTAGATGCCATGAATATTGAAAATAATCTCTCTTAGAAAATTCAAAAATCAAATGATAAAATTTTCATTATATCATTGAAGCAGAGGAGAGGACCTCTTCCAAAATCCCCAGTTTGAAGTAAAATATTTTTATTTTGATCCAGAACTTCGTAAATTTATACAAAATATTTACAGGTAAAGCTTTACTGTTAGAGGATTTCACTTTTCAATTGGATTTTTTTTCAAAGTTGAGATAAAAGTGTTTATCATGTACTAGAAACAAATTAAATTGTTCTTTTTTTAAATGAGACAATCTTTTGTTTACAGCTTACGTGTGTTACAACAGAGGCATGATAAATATATATGTGTCCTTTATAACAGTGGTAGCAAATGGATATGTTTATGAAACAATGTAAACAGTCAGCTATAACTAATGTTTGTGGTAATTTCTCATTAATATTGGGTTCTAGACTTTGAATTCCTGATTAAAATATAGTAAATTTAAAGTATGTGCACTGTAGTTATTCAATTTTAATTTTTATTGAATTTTACATTAATTTATATCCAACATGCTTGTGAAAAACTTTTTGAAAAGGAAAAAAAAATAGATAATTTTATGGTAAATTGTCAAATCTGTCAAAAATAACCTATTGAATAATCATTCCGTTTGAAAATCCTTGGTAAAATAGGAATTACTTACGCTTATAGAGGGAAAACTCCTCAGATTAGATTCACTGTCCCCATCATCATATTTCATTTTGTAAACAGGACACAAATTAACTTTCCATCAGACTTTAAATTAGAAAAAAAACAGCTTATTAATAAATATATGTTTTTATATATAACATCATGTCATGGTGCGTCCTGTTACTGAAAAGTTTAGTCTGCGAATTGATTAATAACAACGTGGTTTTGGCCCTAATTTTTTCTCTCTCTTCTCTAAAAGCCACTGAAATGGATTTAAAGAATGAAATAAAATAAAGAAATCTTGCCTGTTTTTATTTATGAATATGCCTGTATTAATGTTTGTTGTATTATTATGTGCCTTATGTATGCGTTTTTTTTGAGTGTATAAAAGGTTCACATTTAATCATTTTAATGTTAGATTTTTTCTCTTATCTTAACATAAAACACCAAAGAGAATTAATTAATACATAAATGCATTTAAACGTGTTAAAATTAATTTGATTTAAACAATTTTTATTGTCAAAGTAATGATGGAAAAAATGTTGAAATGAAATCTTAGATATTTATTCCAAATCATTATAAAAACACATAGTTCGATATTTTGTGCTGAAGATTTATTCCTAAGTAGGCATTGTCCACATGTTGTTATAACGATTTATGTTTGCACGGCATCTACAGTAACACTATAAAGGATCGTATGTTATTATAGCAACACAACAAGCAAAACAAATGTTGAGCAGCATTATTTTTTATGTCATATTTTTACCGGATATTATTGTGTAAATAAAAAATAGCATACAGGTTTTTAAATATCAACATCACACTGTATTGTTTTGCACATAACTTTATAACAAATATGACGTTCTGAATTGTAAAATAGCTTGCAGATGATGTCATGATGTGTCCAAGAGTAAACCATCCATCTCAAAATTTGTTAAGTGTTCAAAAAGCCTTCAATGCTGAATTTCAGATTTTGATAGTTACTTCCTTTGTTTGTTTTACTTGTTTTACTTCCTTCCCTTCGAGAATATTTCACTCCTATCGTACTGCAGGTGGAGGAATACAAGTTTAGACCCGTACTCAGCACTTACGAACATTGAGCAGTGAGATATCTCTTACCTGCAAGTATCTACATCGAAAAATGACCTCGCTTTTTACGTCTCAGCTAAAGGACCGATCTCCAAATCCTGCAGTAGGATTCGATCCTGCTTTTTATTCCTTTAACACGTAACATCCAATTGTTAAAACATATTTTTGATAAAAAATTCACCTACTAAGAATTTTTATAAGAGGTCATGGGCTATCATAAATTTCTCAGGCTTTGACAAATTAAACTCTTCCAGGAATTCGCCTGGACTAACTTTTAAAACATTTCAGTTTGGTGAGGACTATATATCATCTATATATCTCCTAGAAGTTCGGAAGTAAGAAAGAAAAGGCTACACTGTATAATAATATATGATGAAAAGGTGAAGATAACAAACAGAGATGATCTCAAAAAAAAATCTACAAAACAATAGAAATCTATAAACAGGACATAAAACATGGTCCCCCGGAAATTCCATAAATGGGATCAGGTGCCTAGGAGGAGTAAGCATTCCCTGTCGACCTTTTTACCCACTGTGAGCCCTATGTATTGATCAGATAGAAGGAACATTCCGTAGTCAAATTTAGTGAAAACAAAGGCCATACAATTTGTAACACGTCAGCCAAAATACATCACAATGATAGGTTATTTTTGTTAACAAGGTCATTATAAAGGCCATTGAATTTACAAAATGCCGACTTTAAACATGGTTTTTGAAATCCCTATAACATCAACTAATCTGTCAGTGGTCTGCCTCGTACACCAAACATGATCTTGAGTATAGGGGAGTAAACACCATATGCAGGCGATAACGGAATATTACTACAAACTGATGAAATAAGGAAAGTTAACGATGGAAAAGTTAAAGTCATCTCGTTTTGTCATACAATTTAGTTGTTAGTCGGTCTATAGTCAGTAAAACATCCTAATATGAAACAGATGTGGTACATGTAGACTCTGTGGTGTCTTTCATTTCTAGTTCACTGGAATATGTCGAGTTGACATATGAATGACCAACATAGCGGCAGAACAATAAAATTCACTATTCTTGTCCCTTTTCCCATTGATGGTGTATACAAAAACTCGTTAAACTTGGTTTAGCAGTTCCAGAAAAGAAAAAAAATATACACAGGAAGGTTGAAGACGACATTCAAAAATAATAAGCATGCGTCCTATTTGATCAGCGATGACTTGCTTGACGTGTAAGTATTAAATCAACATCTGAGACAAAATTCCAATCTTAACTCTTGGTCATTATTTGTGATCCACTTAGGACCAATCTTAAGTGCAAATTTATGGAGTTAAGTCTGACTTAAGACAGTTTCATGATCCTGCAGCCTGATTTATCGTTTATTGTTAAACAAGTAACTTGTATATTTGAACAAAATCATTCAGTTTGAAACATTTACTTATTGACACTTTAAACTTTTTCAAGGTAGTCTTAGAGATCAAATAATTATCTTTAATTTCGATACTTTCTTTTCCAATTATTGAAAGATTTAAAAATGTTTTCCATGAATAAAAATAAAAAAAAATTGTTTTCCTTTACACATCCATTTTTTTAAACGTAAGCATTTTAATTATTCTTCATCTCGTCATCAGCTCGGCTCGTACATCTCTATTTGTTTTATTCTAGATTAATTTGGAAAAAAAGATCCGGTTCAGGAAAAAAAATTACACTTACCAAAACGAGCTAAGACGGACAATAACAACATTCAATTTAAGTACAAATGAAAAAAAATAAGCAAAAATGGTTTTTCCTCAACAAAAACCCTTCTTTACTTGTTATAAAAAGCATTTATATCACTAAATTTATCACTGAAGTACATACATGGCACTACAAGAAGTGTCAATGAAATTAAAGGTATATTTATTGAACTAGATCTTTCTTTAAAAAGATAATCCTTCAATAAATAAATAAATAAATAAATAAAAAAGAAAGATCTTCAATATAAGCAAAAATTTTAATTTTCTAATATCCCATGAGTAAGTTCAAATATCTAAATTACAAATAAAGATTTTGTTTTTTAATCATATGATGCAATATACTATGTTGGTATTCATTTTTTCATGACCATGTTTTAAAATGAAATGACTGTTGCTGATTATAGTCTCAATCAGGAATTGTACTTGTAATGAAATATGCATGGAGATAACGAACAGTATTCAAGCTCAAAGTCCATTAAAACAAAACAAATAGGGAGCAGAGCAAACACAGAGCTCCAAAAACAGAAGTGGGATGAGGTGCCAAGAAGAAGTGAGCATTCCTGCTGACCGGTCACAGCTTGTACCTGTAAATGTGTTATTAGTACTAGAGGAATTGACAAAGTCCTTTAATGTCAGGTTAACAAGTTTGCAAGTTCTATAGCTTAAATACGCTTTGTACAAAAATGTTATTTAAAGGAAATTATTTCCAAATGTAAGTACATGTATATGTTGGCATGTATACAGTACTACAGTATCACTATTTATGGCATATCAGCCTTCCCTTCTATTGATTCTTTCAACTTAGTGAACCCTTTCCTTGCAAAACAATGAGTGTCAAACAAAGAAGATACATGTATGTTAACTTAAAATCATATTGCAAAAATTACATGTGATGTAAATAAGATAATTTCCACAGATTTTGAGTATAAAGTATGCCAGAGCTGTAGTACATGTGTATTTTACAATATATACGTCAAAAAAGAGATGATGGATACTGACATGTTGACAGGAGTATGAAGGAACAAGGAAATGAGGAATCTAGATCGACCCTGCAGAGGGAAATAACTTTTATTAACTTAAAAGTCATCAATTTACGATCAAGAGATATGGATTGATATGTTGAACGCTTCTATGAACAACTTATCTTTGGGTTCCTAAATACGGGTACTGTATACGTACATTTGGAGGTGTTTTCTATTAAGAGCCTTTTGCAGAAAGAAGCTAAGTTCATCGCGCTAAATGTCTTGTATGTATTTATTTTTATCAGCACATTCAGAAAGCGCTAAATCAAGTTTTCGCTAATTTGCTCTAAAATCAATTTCCGCAAAAAATTACATATAATTCACAGTAATCATTGGGACAGTGTGTGCTTTAGTGAGCCCTAATTTTTGTTTCTGTTTTTGACTGATTTTTTCTGGATGCATGATTAATAACATATATTTGATTTGCATAACCTTTACATTCAGCATCACCCACAGGCTGTCTCTATACACCTATACCATAACATATATGGGAACTACTTGTCGCCTGCCGCACTGAAAATAGTGCTATATAGTTTTAAAAATGGAAATTATTCGGGGGCACTATCGTGCCATTATGTGTCGGGCTCGCCAAAGTGTAACAAATCTTATTTTGGGCGCCAGCTGCAGGCGCTCTCTCCAAACCCCTATAGAATAAAAAAAGGGTATTACTTTGCACCTTGCAGTCCAGATACGGTGCCTATGTTACCCTTTTTGACACCAAAAATCATACGGGCCATAGTGAGTTGAGATCACTTAACAGGAGCAGGTGTTAGTTTGAGCATGAGGCCTTCTCTTTAGAGCCTTATTATGGTATTTACTTCGGGTTTGATAAATACAGTAACCTAGTCAATAAACAGAAAATTTTGTCATTGGCCTTTACATTTGCCTGTGTCTTGGTTAATATTAAAGGTATGCAGGCTCGGTAATAATGTTTTATGCTCTCTTCACAGATTTGTATTGTTTATATATTTTTTCTGAAATCGATCACTGTTCGTTATCTTCACCTTTTTCATTGATGTTATCGATGCAGGTAGTGCGGTAAATGGAAGGACTGGTTTTACCAGCAGTGTGTTGATATCACTGTTGAGCAGGCCACAAATGTAACAGGCTACCAGTGAATATCTGAGCTGAAAGCAACCTTAGTTATTGCATGTGTATTTTGTAACTTGGAAATTTTCGAGCCTAGTTATTTCAATTATTGATGATACATGTATCGTAAGTCATTTAAGATGTCACAGATAACGGAAATGTTACAGTTTGAATTTGTGTAATTTTTTGAGTGATTTTCCATTTTTTAAAACTGGATACCTTCGTAAAATGTAAAGAGTTATCTTTGTCTACCCTATTTGTGTTCTCTGTACTGTGTTTCTCCAGCCCCTATATCAGCCTTAGTTTTGTCTGGTTCAGTTTATTTCGCTTCGTAGATATAACCTGAGCGCACAATTCCTTCTTTGTCATTGTCATAAGTTTAGGCTCGACTAAAATAACTTCTGAGTGCTTTTGTCACGTCAGGAAAAAAAAAGGTTACCCAAGATATTCGATATAAATTGCACAAGTCAATTTATTACAAAGTAAAATAAAGACAAATGCATGCTCAATGAAATAAAACTTAAACAAAAACAACAATGTAACATATACATGGGTATACCACACGTCGCAGAGACCAGCTAAAAGCAATCAGGTTAACGAATGCGAGAGTTTATATATATATATATATATATATATATATATATATATATATATATATATATATATATATATATATATGATGTTTGTCTATTTACGAGTCGTGCTAAGCTTTAAGTTTCATAGGAATTTAGGATGAAAAGGGCGCGTTATTGTTTGGTTTTAACTTTACGTTTGCATTAATCGGGTCTTGGAAAACACAAATGTTTACCAAACGATAATTTTTGCTTTAGAGATTTCTATTGATTGATTGAATGATTGTATGTTGTTTTACGTCCCATTACTCATTGAAATAATATAATTGATAGTTCCCTTCTATACAAGGATCTTATGAATTTGTTTATATGACCTACATGTAGGGTTTTGAACAAAATCAAAAAACTGCAGAATTAGATTCACCCAAATACATACATATATAGAATTAGAAAATCAAAAATTACAGAATTTTACAGTTTAAATGAATTATTATTTAAGAAATGTTTAAATACAACAGTTGCAATGCCTTTAAATAAGAAATTGACAATTTATTCTCTTAAAAATCATTTGTAGTAAAATATTTTAATAACAATAAATAAATTGTCGGTTTCCTGATTATAACAAATATGTTTTTCAAAGAAACCACTACTGTGAGTGCGAAATTGTTAAAATATCAGCCATCCCCACATTTCTTTTGCTGCAGGATTTTCTCAGTTGATGCTGAAATATGTGATTTTAGTTGTTCTATAACAGCTCTATACTTCCCATTGCTAAGTCTTTCAATAGCCTAAAAGTAGACAAAAAAATAAGAATCCTTCTTAGAACAATGATGAGTATTGAAAAATGATAAATATTATATTTTTATATCTTTTTTTCAGGTAAATGTTTCCAAAAACTGTAGGTTTTTTTAAAGATAATCAATTTATTCATTGCATTTAGTATAATGTAATTCAGGTAAATCATGTCACAGGATTTATCGACTTGGAATATACTGTTTAAATTCAAAAAAACATTTTTACCTGAGTTAAGTCTAACCAATATTTTTCAAATATATCCTTCTCAAGGACCTTGGTTTCTGACACTGCATGATTAACCTTGTTTCTGTAGCACCGGATGCGTTCCACATCATTGATTTCCTCTATATCTTCAATCCCTGGTTTCTTTCCCCAACCAGGCCAATCTTCTCCTTGATAGTTTCTCAGCAACTTGTACATTATCGTAATGTCGAATGTAGAAGACGTTGGACAACTTCCGTCACCTTTAATTCAAAGTCTTCTTCAACAATATTTTTTTTACTATCATATTTTTCACTCAGTTGAAATGAAGTACATTGTTTTTTACTATCACTAAAGTTTGAAAGCAATGCGAGTCAGTAATTTACTAAATGTATGCACAAGCTACACTTTTTATATAGACTTGGAATCTAAATTAAGTGCTTCATGGTTTAGTTTTCATTTTCAATATGTTCTTATTTAACTATCTTTTCACTACTTTGTGGTTGATTTCATAAACTCAATAAAAAGCAGTTAAATTCCTTCGTTTAAGCAACATTTTTTTTTGTTTTCAGTACAAGAAAAAAAGACAATATGTGGCAAAATATGTCGACGTGTCTTGATATAAAAACAAACCTGGAAATAGAACCATCAGCTGTTCTTCCCCAAATCTGTAAGGACCTTTCTTCATATCGTCCATATCTTTTTCTAGATCTCGTGGAGATAATTTGTTATCGAAGTAATTTTGCAACGCATCTCGAGAAATTTCTGTCAGTTTTTCAAACATCTCCCAGTTCCGCTTCTTTGACTCCTCAGCAGACACTTCAATATCAAAAATTTTAAATATTGTAACATACAAAATGCATTGATCTCTTGTTTAAATTCTAAATTATAAGCTTGAATTAATGTGAATACAAATAAAGGAACTCCTCGGACAAAAAAAGAAAAATTAAAAGTCATTGCTTAATTTTATTCTTATTACAAAGATATAACAAGAATTTAAATTTAATTGAAAGCGAGGACTTACATATACTTTCTACTACGAAACTTTCATTCCTTTCTGCGATAATTTCACATCGTTTTCTTTTGCCTGAAATAACAAGTTTAAATGATGAACTGCAATTTGGCGAAATTGATATTGACCCAAAGATATTTGTTAAGACAGCAAGTCTAACGGTACGGTAGGCTTATAGGAAATACATAATATATGATTTACGCTGGTATGTTAAGGCAGCACCCAGAGCGTTTTTTTTTTTGAAAATTTACACTTGTTCAAAACTCGTAATTTTCATTAACCATCAAAGACACATAAAAATAATATTATCCACTGAAAAAACGTCAAAGCTAAAGGACGCGCTTCACCATGCCGTCATCACGTGACGTCTGTAAATAAAATATATGCCTGAATGAAAAAGCAAAAAGTTTATCACTGCACCGTGGCTAAATCGTTTCGGCAGGTAAGAATAATTAAGTAAAATTTCTCTGTGCCATAGAATGCTACTTAAAAATCGCCCAATCTTATTAAATTTTTTTTTCGCTTTCGAACACAATCTTCCCATAATTCTCCAAATTTGCATATCCTTCCAAAAGCTTTAACGCAAAAATGCGAATTGGCCAAAAATAGAGAATCCGATCCCCTGCATTAGCCCTTGAGGAGGATTTCCTAACATACTTAAACACTTCACTAACACTCAGCAAAAATTTGATTAACCTTTACGACGTCATTGGTTAAGTATTAACTCTTGTGATAAAACCTTTGTTATTTATAGCATCAGAAAATAACAATGTATTTTTTTATAAATATTTTCATTTAATTTTAGGAGGATAAAAATTCTTTTAAAAAAGATACCGTCCTTATAGCCTACTGTGACTTCCTGTGACTACTGTGACTGCGTTTATATCGCGGATTTGCAAAGGTCAGAAGATCTGGATGTAACCTTAACATATCCTTGAAGTACTCGGACGAAAACATTATATTCACCTTTTCCCAAAATCCTAAAGTCCATAAAACGTCTATGTCATGTCTCTTCCCAATGGGACAATTGCATTGAATCACAGTCCTTTATTTCATACACATTATTTTCCGGAATAAATGTGGGATCATCCTTACTGCAGAAAATATTCAGATATTTATAGCCCTTTTGAAAAATTTTCTTCTCATCAAATGTCTTCGTCAATTCTGTTAAGGCAATTTCAATGGCTTTTCCAATTTCACAGGAAATCTTTGGATGCAGATTGTTGATTCTCAAGACTTGTACTTGGATGTCATTATCAAATATACCAACAACAACAGTGTGATTTTCGGTTTCAAAAACTGCTGCTGTGTGATACAAACATTGACTTTCGTTTTCATCTGACGCTGGGGCCATGAAATTCACAACTTTGGAAGAGGCACTCTTGCTCATTATAACTATGTACTTAGTTACTTTATTTAATACCCAGGAGCAGAGAAGAAGATTTTCAAAGAATTAATGCATTTTCACAATATAATCAATAGAGCCCCGCCCTAACACCAGAACTCCTGACCCTGGGGCCATGAAATTCACAATTTTGGAAAAGGCACTCTTGCTCATCATAACTATGTACTTAGTTAGTTTATTTGATACCCAGGAACAGAGAAGATTTTCAAAATAATAATGCACTTTCACTATAAGATCTATATAGCCCCACCCTAACACCAGAACCCCTGACCCTGGGGCCATGAAATTCACAATTTTAGAAGAGGCACTCTTGCTTATTATAACTCTGTACTTAGTTAGTTTATTTAATACCCAGGAGGAGAGAAGAATTTTTTCAAAGGATTAATGCATTTTCGCTATATAATCAATAGACCCCCCCTTTTCACCAGAACCCCTGACCCTGGGGCCATAAAATTCAAAATTTTGGAAGAGACACTCTTGCTCATCATAACTATGTACTTAGTTACTTTATTTAATACCCAGGAGCAGAGAAGAAGATTTTCAAAGAATTAATGCATTTTCACTATATAATCAATAGAGCCCCGCCCTAACACAAGAACCCCTGATCCTGGGGCCATCAATTTCACAATTTTGGAAGAGGCACTCTTGCTCATCATAACTATATACTTGGTTACTTTATTTAATACCCAGGAGCAGAGAAGAAGATTTTCAAAGAATTAATGCATTTTCACTATATAATCAATAGACCTCCCCCTTTTCACCAGAACCCCTGACCCTGGGGCCATGAAATTCACAATTTTGGAAGAGGCTCTCTTGCTCATCATAACTATGTACTTAGTTAGTTTATTTGATACCCATTAGCAGAGAAGAAGATTTTTAAAATAATAATGCACTTTCACTATATGATCTATATAGCCCAGCCCTAGCACCAGAACCCCTGACCCTGGGGCCATGAATTTCACAATTTTGGTAGAGGGCTCAATGCTTATTACAATCATGCCAACAGTTTGACTGCTTGATGTCCAGGAGTAAAGAAGAAGATTTTTAAAAATTGCATTAATTTTGGTGGTTTTAGCCCCACCCCTCAGCCCCCCCCCCCGGGGGGGGAGGGCAGGGACCATGAAATTCACAATTTTTGTTCCCCTTTACCCATAGATGCTTTATGCCAAATTTGGTTGAAATTGGTTAAGCGGTTTCAGAGAAGAAGCTAAAAATGTTCAAATGTTAACACACGTCGCACGACGACGGACGAAAACGGATATCGATAGGTCACCTGAGTGACTCAGGTGACCTAATAAAAGTCAAAGAAATTGAATACAGAACAGTTATGTCGGTGTTGAATACTCAGTATATTTAGACATAATTTCCATTCATTTCTATTAACATGTAAGAGTGGAATGTGCCCTAATTTATGACCTTGCACTTTGCTGAAGAGTTAACTCCCTCTGTTTTTATTTAATAAAAATCAATTGTGTAAAAATCGCTCTCGTAAAAATCGTTTTCAGTTATTATTCTATTTATAATGATTTAAAGCATCTTTCGACTGCAGTATTTATTGATATTCTTATTATTTGATTTGTTTAAATGCTTGTCCCCATAGACTGCAATGCAATAATCGTTAATTAATTACTGCTTAATTAATTACATTTTTTAAAGTTTCTTTTCTACTGTAAAATGCTTTAAATTAATATCCGAGTATTATGTATGTGATGAATATTTACTGATAAAGAATTGATAATTTTTCAGAAATTTTCCAGAATTTCACTTCAATGTTTGAATAATATTTTAAGAGTTGTTTTTTTTTTTTACTTGTGGCTCATTTCACCGTACATCGGACTAAAATTAGCCATGCATAGGACAACTTTTCGATGCATGGGAAATCACTTTCATTTTCATATAGAACCAAACTGGTTTTTTTTGTTTTGTTTTGTTTTTGCAGAAATAGAAATCAAAAACTTTAAATTTTCAGCGAAAATACAATTTATCGATATATGGCGACTAGTAGTAGACTTAATGTATTTCTACAAACTAGAAGATGATGACCAACGAGACAAATGCGTTAGTTTCCATATGATATATATTGTAAAGCCTTTCTACGGGTTATGATGCAACTTAAATCTCCCCCAAATTTGTGGATCGATAAAGTCGGTCAAATTTAATTAGAAGGTTAATTATTAAATAAAAGATAAAAAGAAATATTTCCATGTCACTGATTTTAAAGCACCTTGATAAAGGTATTACATTCTTCCGGCTCAAATACCGTTTGTCCGATGCATGGTGAATATTGTCCGATCCATGGTGAATTCTAACTCATTTTTTAAAAAAAGATGTTTTTGATGATATTTTCTCAATAAATAGCATAATACTGTGTCACAAATTTATATTTTATTCACATTCTACATGTTAAGCTCCATTGTGATAACATTCGGTCGGTTGCAATAGCGCTAGAACTTGTTGAAGTACGGGGGTATCCCATGCATGGTGAATTCACCCTATTTCTTACGTTCCTTAGAACTTCATCACTTTCAGTGAACAGTTTTTTAAGCGCTGCCTTCAGAATGATAACAGGGAGATCTATTTTTTTTCCTTCAGAAGAATTAATGGAAGACGGCTCCTGCAACTTATATTTTGTACAAGCCAGGGACAGATGCAAAATGTCAGAAATAATTTTCTTTATTTCCACCTTACTTATCATGTATGTCCTCACTACTTTTCTGATCTTTGACCAGCTACATTCGTGATCTGCCTCTGGTACACCGCCTATGTACAACTAAGTTGGTCTTTTTTCTTGTTTTTATCATTTGTTTAATTCCCCTGCAGTCTTTTTTTGAAATAAACTTCGTAAAAGCTTTCAGTTACTCCGATAACCTGTTAACCGTAACGTAAAGACTTTACGGGTTTTCAGGAGCGGACGGCGGCTAAATGGCCCTGCCAACAGCGTCGGAACTATTAAAGTACAGAATATATAATACTCTGCTAAGCACCGATCACCCGTAAATCATGTAAGATTAGATTAAAAAGAAATGGTGCCTCCACTAAGCAGCATAAGTTGTACATACTGGTTCCCGAATGTATTCAATATAAATATTTACTTAAGGACATACACAACGTAGTTTGAACTTTATTGTCTTTCTCCCTGCAGTTGAAGAGTTCCAATACTTGAAGGAAACGTGTGCTACATTCTAATGTCTATATATGCTTTTGTACACTTCTTCTAAAACAAGATTGGATAAACAAAACTTCTAGAATATATATTTAGTAATTTTTGTAAATTTTTCTTTGAATTCCACAAGAATTTTCATCAATTGATATCTTTTCAAACACCTGGTAATACATGCCGATTTTTTGTCTACAAACATCTGATGGCACTATAATCTTAAATTAAGAATATCTTGAAAAATTATCAG